AAGAAATTCAAGACAAGACTTTCAAAATTTCTTTTCTTGAATTTCAAGACAAGACAAGACTTTAATATGCAAGAAATTTCGAGAGTCTTGCAAGATTTCTTGAAAGTTAGAAATTATACATTTTTTTAAGTGATAATTAGGTCTTTGCGCAAGTTATGCCGGGTTTATACAACTTTTAGATAGTCGTAGTGACAATCATAGTCATAATCATAAAAGTTAAACTATCCACTTCTTATAAACCTGTTGACATCTACCATGAACTTAGCCTTTAATTATGTTACCCGACTTCAGTGATGTAAAAATTATGATTATGAAAATGTTCTATAAACGCACATTAAAATTACGTTGTGATTATGACGATGATTAAGACTGTGATTATGATTACGACTTATGCAAATGTTGTATAAACCCGGGATTAATATCACAGATTAGGTATCCTATAAGTATACAGATAAAAATCTTGTCCCGAATTCGTGGTACGAAAACTGTTTTTTATGACGATGAGCAAACGAGTAAAATTTCCTCTGCGCAGAAATAAACTCCCGTTTAAACAGCGTAATGACAGGGCCGGTCAGGTGCTGTGCACAATTTTAGAGGCCATAAGTAGGCGTGCTATGTGTGCAAACTAGTAACCTAATTAGTGCGCGACTCTGAAAATTGGAACCACGAAAAACAATGCTTTTGACGATAAGTTTATAAACTGTATAATTTGTGTTAATATTGACCAGTGTTCATTTTTTTTCTATCATAGCCAGTGTTTCAGAGTTGAGAATGAAATAAAATAAAGTCGAGGCGACAAACCGTATATTGGTAATTGGTATTATACACAAAATTATATTGGTATTATAAAAAAAACTGTAATAAAGAATGTAAAATTTTTCAAGACAAGATATTTCAAGAGTCTTGCAAGACAAGACAAGACTTTGCCATTCAAGAAATCTGCAAGACAAGACTTTGAAAATTACTTGTCTTGAATTTCAAGACAAGACAAGAAATTGAGATTTTCAAGACAAGAATTCTTGTCTTGTGCAACACTAGTTTCGACTATGTACAGTACATCTGCTGGATCTGTGTCTATGAAAGGAATGCGAACAAAAAACATTTAAATAAACAGCAATATATTTTATACGTCGACTTGACGAGACGTCACCGCAAATCGCTCCGCCCGCTTATTTTATTGGCTACTTGCAAAATTGTAGAATTTTTATTGATGGAACGCGTTGTCTTTTTTTTACGAAAAACATCGAGAGAATATCGTTTCCCCTCTCACGGATACCCCGTAGCAACAGAACGGACAGACGTACTGTATGGTTGCTTTAAATTGAAAACGGTATAGCGACTCCCAACAACCAATAATAGTATGACTTTATTATAGATATATGTATAGAAATTTTATTTATATAAAAGCATAATTAATCGATTTTAAACAACAAAGTAAATAACGGTAGAAATCTAATAAATTACATTACTAATCCGTTATTGTATCAAACTAGACTAGACAAATTGCATTAAGATTGTTATCTTTACTGAAAATAAACAAATTATTTTTAAATACTTTGATAATCAATTTTATAATTATATAAAGTTATTATCACTTATAAATAAACAAACTAGAAGTTGATCAAGGTATCAAAAAGAATAATACCGAGTGATCAAATGAATAACACGTTATAATCATACCTAATTATTGGTCATAGTAGCCTTGGAGTTACATTTATATTCCAGCTACACTGTGTATAAAAATTCATACATAAATACAGAAATAAACATATCAAAAATAACTCACACTGTTTGACGCATATTTTTCAATTTATTGATTTTATGGAATGCACTTTTCATTAAAATGTTGTATCCTATGTTATAGGGCTTGTTTGTCTCTATAATTTCCTGTTTCACAATGTACCGTTTGTATCCGGGAAGGGTTCATAGTTTCATAGTTGTCGATTTTCGAAAGAAATCAGTACATTTATATTATTTCGTAAATTTTTCATTTTATTGATTTTACGGAAAGAACTGTTCATTAAAATGTTGTATCCTATGGTATATGGCTTGTTCCTCTCTACAATTTCCTGTTTCACAATGCACCGTTTGTGTCCAGGAAGGGATCATAGTTTCATAGTTGTCGATTTTCGAAAGAAATCAGTACATGTATATTATTTCGTATATTTTTCATTTTATTGATTTTATGGAAAGAACTGTTCATTAAAATGTTGTAACCTATGTTATAGGGGTTGTTTGTCTCTACAATTTCCTGTCTCACAATGTACCGTTCGTGTCGGGGAAGGATTCATAATTTCATAGTTGTCGATTTTCGAAAGAAATCATTACATGTATATTGTTTCGTATATTTTTCATTTTATAGATTTTATGGAAAGCACTGTTCATTAAAATGTTGTATCCTATGTTATATGGCTTGTTCCTCTCTACAATTTCCTGTTTCACAATGCACCGTTTGTGTCCAGGAAGGGATCATAGTTGTCGATTTTCGAAAGAAATCAGTACATTTATATTATTTCGTATATTTTTCATTTTATTGATTTTTAGAAAGCACTGTTCATTAAAATGTTGCATCCTGTGTTATAGGGCTTGTTTGTCTCTACAATTTCCTGTCTCACAATGTACCGTTCGTGTCCGGGAAGGGTTCATACTTTCATAGTTGTCGATTTTCGAAAGAAATCAGTACATGTATATTATTTCGTATATTTTTCATTTTATTGATTTTATGGAAAGCACTGTTCGTTCGAAAGCAATAGCGCTGTGATAATTTAAGCTTGAAAATGTTTACTAGCAGACCTTGCTGTCGAACATTGTTCTTTTTAGAACCTTTTTTAGTGCGAAGTGGATACAAGATTCATTTTTATAGTAATTTATTACTTTTTTTTATTATTGTAGCATTTGTTTATTTTAGTTTTTGTTGTTTCTTATTGTTCTATATACTACATTTTTATCTTTAATTTTAAGAATAAAATTAGCATATTTTAAAGGAGATAATGATAAAAATAATTTTATAAAAAGATTCCTCATCAAAATACAGTGTATATGTATATATCAAAAACCGATTCTGTGTCGATAACCCCTTACCCTGTTATTTCGTAGAATACAATATATTACATCCATTACATCTCATTCAAATAAAATATGTATTTGTTCAGCTTTGAACTATGAACGAACATATTAGTCATCAATTTTTGGAACAAAACAAATCCAGCCTGACATTATTGAAGAGGATCAACCGATATTCAGATTCGTTCATATCAAAAAATCAAAACAAAAAACATTCAAAATAGTCGTTTAAAAATATAAAAAATACATTGGACTTTTGATAAAGAGTGTGGATAAAAATAAAATACCAAAATATTTTTAAAAAAGCTTTCATTCCATATCAGTATAATACTGGATTAAGATATCCATTGAAAATTTCAATTCTATTTTTGTATCAAAACACCAAACAGTTTGTTTGTTGTTTACACAAAAAAATCATGTTAATAATTGTTTCAAAACACAAATTGCTACAATTACTTGATATTATCTCACAGTATAATTATATGTTGTTACTCATATTTGTACTTCCGATACTAGCTTACATAAAACATGTATTATACGTCATAATATTTAGCACAGATTGTATACAAGGTGGCAACAGCAACGACCTATTTTTTAATGCCAATTAAAAGTTCTCTTGATATTATGTTGATTTCGGTCTCCCTGATGAGATAAACGCAATTTTATTAATTTAATTAATGCCTTGATCCAAGTCTAATAGCAATTTTTTAAAATGTTTATGTCAATTTCGATCGACGCCATTTTTAAACTGTTTTGTTACAAGACGAATTAAAAAAATATGTGATGCAATCAAATATCGTAACGTTGTTTTTGGGTGAGGCAGTGGATTTTAAGAAGAAACCAATTGGAAGCATCAGAAACCAGAAACCTTGATGAGAGAGCTATTAGAGGACAAAGAATCGTACCGATTTTTTTTAAGAATGTCTGAAGAAAAATTTGAGGAACTGCTGTCAAAATGTCAAGATCATATAAGAAAAAAAGATACAATGATGCGACAAGCACTATCACCAAAATTAAAACTGCAAATTAAAATACAACGCAAAGCGATTTCTTTTGCATCTTTGTTTTTATAGTTACTGATGCGATAGTTCCAGAGGCACTCATATGTCTTTGATATAGTTCAAGAAACTTCATAATCACATTTTCTGACCATTTAACACTCATTGTTATCACTATTTTTTTATTTTCAATAATATTTCTTGCCAAATACTACCAAAACCGTGGCTAGTTGATTGACTGCTTAGTTCACACGTTTCAAGACTTATTTCAACTTGAAAGCGATTCGGGACTTGAACGGCAAAAGTTTGAATGGATCAAACTTTTGTTGAACAACTAAAAAGCTGATCAAGTCCATTGTAACAGTAGTTCTCACTATAGTTTTTATTCAATTTTTGTTGATCAGCTAAAGTTGTTCAACTAAACTTGACTCGTGAGAACGCGCCTTAAGGCTTAGCCCGATCCTGTCGTGTTAGGTAGCACTGAACATCAGTGATATAAGCTTTAATAAAATTTAAAAATAAATTAGAATAAATAAATAATTTATTAATTTGACTTCATTTTATTAATTTAAATTGATAAAAAATAAATCCCATTTTTACGTAAAGAATCTCCCCACGAAAGATGGCACATGTTTTTAAAAGACCCTGTATATTAGTGTTATTAATATTAAATTATTTTTATGACATGTGTGCTTCAAAAATCTGTTGTCCATTATTATTTCTTCATGATCAAAAATTGTATTTTTTTTTTTTCTTAAATGAATTATTTCTTTAAAACCAGCAAGTTTGAAGTTGAATCACCCTATATATTACTGGTTTTTACTATTTTTCTAAGCGGATTTTGCATTTTGTGCACATTGTCATTTATTATTAACAATTAACTGTTTTATTTTTCTATTAATCTTATACTCTATGCAAACAAATATTTGAAAAACTCACCAGAGTACAGCGTTTTCTTTTTTAATCCAAAATGCCTTATTCACAAATTGTTCACCACACTACACTGTAACAGAATTAAGTATAAGTTAGATTACCGCTACTTTAACTGATGATACACAAACATTATAATAACTATTTTCATTAGTTAAAAACATTTTTTTTAAACACTATACACTAATCACTCTTCAAAAACATCCCGACAAGCCGCTATATTCTACAATACTAACTGACAAGAAGCTTATCTTTTAAAATTGTTTCGAATTTGATAAAGTTCAACAGTTAAGGCTGATTTTCGCGAAAACAGCGCATAATTTCATGAAATTTAATTATATTCCTAATTAAAAATGATTTTAGATATTATTAATCAAAACAAAAGTTAATATGTTTTTGTTTGGGTTGGCATAAAATTCAAGATTTTCTAGATATATTGTCTCATTTGTTTATACAATTTAATTCTTTTATTCGCAATAATTAGCTACGAAATTATAGAGAAAAATGTAATAAAATGAAATAAATAAATTAATGATACAAGGAATATGCGCAGTGCTCTGCAACTTTTCAAAATGACTCACAAACAAGTTTTGAAAAATAAACGCTTTTAATTTATCTAAAAGGGCGATACAAATAAAGAACCAAATTGGTAGATAGTGTTCTTAACAGTGTCGCTATATCGTTAGATGTAACAAGATATCGGGGTCACAGAAAGTCGAGGACTAATAAAAATAAATTTACGCCTCTGACAAATCAACACTACTTGGCTTTATAAATAGCTAAACTAGATTATACCAACGCCAGTCGTAAGAGATATTATGTTAATAAAGCTTTATCATATCACACCTATTGAAAAACAGCGAAGGAAATTCAAAAACGCGCTATTCCCGCTTTAATAAACTATAATTTGAAAATAACTTACTTGAATAACACCAAATTAGTTTTAGAAATTAACAATTAAATACACAACAATGTCCATAATTCCAGATAATTCTAAATTATTTTTGTTTTTTTGTTATTAACATCCAAAGCCTACTTCGAGTTTAAAAAACACACTGTATTTACTATTTTTTCTTTAGTATAATATGCAACCAGTTAATGAAAATTAAATACTTCAACTACTCTCAAAGAGATGGCGCTTTATTTAATCAAATTTTATTTTTAGACTATTGGCGACTCTGATTTCTGACGTGTAAAAATCCAAACAACATGATTTATGTCAACAAACGTCAGTTTTCTTCAACATGGCGAACGTGCGTGACAGTGATACTTCGTTGTGGCTTCACAATAAACTCGGAATTTCGAATGATTCTTGGACCGGAGGCTCAATTTGTTCTCAACTAAATGCCGAGGTTTTGAGGAACATCAAGGACTGTTTTCCGGACTTGCAAACCCAGGTCAAATTGAAATTGTTGCTAAGTTTCTTCCATGTCCCGCGCAGAAATCTCGAGGAGGTATGTTTATGTTTGTTCGACGTTATATTTAGATTCTATCTCTGTTAGACTTGTTAGAATTCATTGTGTGTTATTTAAGGCGTTTGTCGTGAATTGAACGAATGTTGTTGTATTTAAAGGGTGTTTTGTAATTGTAATTTTGGGCATTCCTTTAGAAAAACTGTATAAAAATAGAATATGTATTCTAAGATGATCAAATTACACTTTGGTCTTAAATATCTAGTGATTGTCTGTGATATTTATTAAATATATTATTTTTTCTTTAGTGGAAATTGGAACTAGAACAAATATTAGATGTAGCACTCCAAGATTCTGAATTGTGGGTCGCTATGATAGCTGATGCTTTGAAAACATATCCGTCAACAGGTTCACTTAACACAGAAATAACAGGTACTTTTTATTGCGTAACCTCCTTTCCAGAAAATATACTTTATTATTGTTTTCAGATGTTGACGAAGTCAGATCCATATTTAGTGACTTACTATCAGATCTAAGAAAACATGTTCGGAAACAGAATGAACACACAATTTTACCCATGGAATGCCATTACCTGAACAAAAATGCCTTAATATCAGTTGTATGTATAATACTTTTCCTAATATTCCTTCCTAATATTAATGATAAAAAATAGGTAGGTCATAAGCCTGAACCAATAAAACATTTTACTATAAAGAAAAAGCCAAAATCAGCATTGTTAAGGGCCGATTTGCTCCAGAAATCTTCAGATGCAGCTTCCAATTTGAAAAAATCAAGTGCTCCAGTTATACCAGTAAGATCTAGAGGCATGCCTAGGAAAATGACAGATACAAGTAAGAATTATTCATATATTTATACTATTTTGCTTAATTATTTTGTTTTGTAGCCCCACTTAAAGGAATACCCAGTAGGGTTCCTACATCAGGCTTCCGTACCAGTGCTTTAAGTAGTAACATGACTAACAGACCATTAGTAAGACCACCGGCAGGTAAAATACTATAATAAATCTTAAAAGAGCTATTATTGATTATTAATTAAATCTTTAGGTCGTAAAGAAGGTGGAGTTAAGTTATTAGACATAGCAGACCAGCCTTTAGGCTACACAGCGACAAAGAAAAGAAAGAAGCAGCAAGGTAAGCCTAGGAAAAATGGTGTTTTGTTAGTTTTTGTCTGTTTTATTAACAGTGGGGTTTGTAGAAATGGAAGAGAATCAAGCCAAGAAGGCACAGCAAGAGAATGCCCTCCAAAGTCCTCCTCCGGTCAAAGGGGAAACGCCTACAACCCCAGATTATGCTGCTGGACTTGGGAATACCACGCCTGCATATGCTCCGGCTACACCACAGCCAACTGTTGCTCCTACAGGTAAGCTAAAATACACTCAGATACAAAAAAAAGGCAACGGAAAAATTTTGCTCAAATTTAAAGTGTTATATTTTTCTTATTATTAGCCCAATTTTCATGATTTTTTTTGGCAAACTGTGTATAAAAATATCAATTTTAATTTGTAAACTCAGTTTTTTTAAAACTTTAGTATTGGGCTTTATTATACAAGGTTTATAACATAGGATACAACATTTTAATGAACAGTGCTTTTCATAATATAATCAGTAAAATGAAAAATATAGGAAATAATATACATGTACTGATTTCTTTTGAAAATCGACAACTATGAAACTATGAACCCTTCCTGGACACAAACGGTACATTGCGGGACAGGAAATTGTGGAGAGAAACAAGCCCTATAACGTAGGATACAACATTTTAATGAACAGTGCTTTCCATATAATCAATAAAATGAAAAATATAGGAAATAATATACATGTACTGATTTCTTTCGAAAATCGACAACTATGAAAATATGAACCCTTCCTGGGTACATTGTGAGACAGTACAAACGGTACATTGTGAGACAGGAAACTGTAGTGAGAAACAAGCCCTAAAACATAGGATACAACATTTTAATGAACAGTGCTTTCCATATAATCAATAAAATAAAAAATATAGGAAATAATATACATGAACTGATTTCTTTCGAAAATCGACAACTATGAAACTATGAACCTTTCCTGGCCACAAACCGTACATTGTGAGACAGGAAATTGTAGAGAGAAACAAGCCCTATAACATAGGATACAACATTTTAATGAACAGTGCTTTCCATTTAATCAATAAAATGAAAAATATAGGAAATAATATACATGTACTGATTTCTTTCGAAAATCGACAACTATGAACCCTTCCTGGACACAAACGGTACATTGTGAGACAGGAAATTGTAGAGAGAAACAAGCCCTATAGCATAGGATACAACATTTTAATGAACAGTGCTTTCCATAAAATTAAAAATATACGAAATAATATGCATGTACTGATTTCTTTCGAAAATCGACAACTATGAAACTATGAACCCTTCCTGGACACAAACGGTACATTGTGAGACAGGAAATTGTAGAGAGAAACAAGCCCTATAACATAGGATACAACATTTTAATGAACAGTGCTTTCCATATAATCAATAAAATTAAAAATATACGAAATAATATGCATGTACTGATTTCTTTCGAAAATCGACAACTATGAAACTATGAACCCTTCCTGGACACAAACGGTACATTGTGAGACAGGAAATTGTAGAGAGAAACAAGCCCTATAACATAGGATACAACATTTTAATGAACAGTGCTTTCCATAAAATCTATAAAATGAAAAATATACGAAATAATATGCATGTAGTGATTTCTTTCGAAAATCGACAACTATGAAACTATGAACTCTTCCTAGACACAAACGGTACATTGTGAGACAGGAAATTGTAAAGAGAAACAAGCCCTATAACATAGGATACAACATTTTAATGAACAGTGCTTTCCATATAATCAATAAAATGAAAAATATAGGTGTGAGACAGGCTTTATTAAACAGGTGCAATAATTTCGTGAGCAAATTTTCCTAAAAAATTATTTTTCTGTCAGAACCATCTCTCCTGAGCATTTTGTTTTTTGTCTCATGACAACACATGCCTTGGTTAATCTTTAAGTGTGAAATGAACTTGCCACCAACAATTTGCAATTTTGTCAATAATTATCGTTACTTTTTGATGTTATTTTTCAATATTCCTAATACAATATAATATTGTATTATGCTGCATTCAATACTCTATACTCAATGAAAAAAAAACGTTAAAGAACTAACAGAGAGACTGTGAGTAGAATCTTAAAAAAGTAAAGACTGATTTTGCTTTTCACTTTATTTAGTTAGAATTTCTTTTTGTAAAAAATGTTAACACTTGTCAAAAGTTAAAGTAAAAAAGTAGTTGTGGCAACATTGTGACGTAGATTCGTGAAATATTTAATGACACATATTCCTATAAATTTTAGACTGGTATGAAGACTATTTTTTGAAAATCGACAATTTCTCAAGTCTGAGAATAACATGTAGTTCTGTATAAAAACATTTTTGATTGATAAAACATTAAATTATTTTTTGACAGATTTCAAAAGTCAGAGATTTTAAGGTTAAAAAATACTTTGTTACAGGTGCGAGTTTATCTGCTTTGACCGCTCCCGCCACGCCGGCAACGCCAGCTCCTCCGGCCACGCCCAAACCGGCAACCACGCAATTACCGGCTCCTGCGTCATCGACGGCGCAGATGGCAACTCTCACACCAATCACGCCGCAGACAGCTTCCCCCACCACTCAGTTATCCAGTCCTCCACCGCAAGTGCAACATATCCAAATACAAACTCAGCCACAGGTAAGTTTGTTTCTAAAATTGCCTATATATTTGAATATTTTTTTGAGAAATATGTTTCTGTAGTTTTAAGTAGAAAAAATTACATAAATGGTATTTTTTAGCAACAGGTTGTGTCACCACAAATTGTTACACCGCAATATATCACTACTCAGAACCTGAGACCTGTGCCTCCATTGTTGGCAACCACGCCAAGTGGTCAAAGAACCATCATTACAACAGGTAAGTTTATGCCTTCCTGGTTATACAGTAACTTTGTACCCGTATCCAATTATTTTTTTTAATCCTTAAATTATGTACCTTTTTTTTAAATTTAAGTGTAACTTGTAATTTGGATTTTTTTGGAAACTGGTTGCAATTTTATTTTATTTTTACTTGCTCTCAGAGAAATAAGTAAAGATAGAAAGATCAGAAGAACTTAACATTAATAATTTACCTTATTGAGAAAGCAATATCTAAAAGAACATTACATAAGTTTTTTTCTAATAAATTTATTAACAAACTCCAGTAGTATAGTACAATAAGGAACGTAGAAGGAAATAATTTATTAACAAATAATGCTACCGTCACAGATTATAATCTTTGTTTTTTCTTTATTGTTTTCGTGGTTCCAATTTTCGGAATCGGGCACTAGTTAGGTGACTAGTTTGCGCACATAGCACGCCCACTTATGGCCTCTAAAATTGTGCACAGCGCCTGACCGGCACAGTTATTAGAGAGATATCGGAAAACCGAATAGCGTCATCCAGTATTTACGCGTACCTTATCATGGTTACGATATGCGCGAGTCAATCCCACACCCGCTAATAACGTTACCGCCTGACGTAATTTGCGGATCAATTACACCAAGCGCTCTTTCTAAATAACCTCTGATAACGTTTAAAAATTGCTTAAATGGGCATGTGCGGGTATTTGACAACCGGAGCCGGCCGGCGAGATCTTTTATTTTAGGTTATGTTTGAATTGTTTTGAATTATTGCTTTAGTTTTATTAGGTAATTTGATATTTAAGTAGCTGGGATTAGTTTTAATTAAATAAATATGGCCCAAAATATGGATTCCACCTCTTCCAATACTAAAGAACCTATAAAGAATCTTTGGTTTACAGCAGATGACCGACTTAGCCCTTCTAAGAGAATTTGTTGCTTGTTGCCCTAAACCCACTGGCAGACGTTGAACAATAAAGCACTGGAAATAAGCACTTTAGCCCTTTAGTTTTAAAATACCTAGTAAACCAAACAATTTCAAAGTTTTAAATTCAAAGTTAGGTTAAGTTTAAATAGCGGACGCGACGCGATCAGAATTCTTTCCGATCCGATAACTATAAATGAAGAGAGTTAATACCACCTCACGTAAACGAAATAACACCTGGCCTTATTAACGTCCATGCACGCTATTCGGTTTAGCGATATCTCTCTATTACGCTGTTTATTGTTATTTTTGCGCACAGGAAAATTGACTCGTTTGCACATCGTCATAAAAAACAATTTTCGTACCACGAATTAGGGACAAGATTTTTATCTGTATACTTATAGGATACCTAATCTGTGCTACCGTATAAAATCTATCCCACGTGACTAGAATTCCTTTAATATACAGGGTGTCCCAATATTTCGTGGATATAGAACTACTACGTATTTTTGAAATCAAAATACCTAAGTTCATTGGACATAATATATCTATATACAAAAGTGCTTCGTTTGACCGCTAGAGGGCATCACACTTTAAAAAATAAACACATTTTTTCAGATATTTTAAGAACCGTTATTCTGATTTGAATGAGATTTTGGTTGTCTATGTTTTGCTAAGTGTTTTACCTTTGTTAAATGTTTCGAAAAACAGAAAAAAATATTTCTTTTGTAGATTTTCTCAAATAACTCGAAATCTGTTAGAGATATCGGAAAACGGTTTTCAGCATTCAATTCTACATAAAATGAACTATCAGTGGGTATATTTTAGTTGCGATCTGAGAGATTTCGGTTTTTGACAAAATCGACAGGGGGTACCGAGGAATGTTTTCGAAAAATTTTGGAAAATCGATTTTGCTTATTTCGTAATATGTTGTAGCGCTGAATGTGTACTTCACAAAAACGGTATCGTTTTTGAGATTCACACCTTTTGTTCCAGAGATATTTGGTGTTAAATGTTTCGAAAAACAGAAAAAAATATTTCTTTTGTAGATTTTCTCAAATAACTGGAAATCTGTTAGAGATATCGGAAAACGGTTTTCAGCATTCAATTCTAGATAAAATGAACTATTAGTGGGTATATTTTAGTTGCGATCTGAGAGATTTCGGTTTTTGACAAAATCGACAGGGGGGTACCGAGGAATGTTTTCGAAAAATTTTGGAAAATCGATTTTGCTTATTTTCATAATATGTTGTAGCGCTGAATGTGTACTTCACAAAAACGGTATCGTTTTTGAGATTCACACCTTTTGTTCCAGAGATATTTGGTGTTAAATGTTTCGAAAAACAGAAAAAATATTTCTTTTGTAGATTTTCTCAAATAACTCGAAATCTGTTAGAGATATCGGAAAACGGTTTTCAGCATTCAATTCTACGGTTTTTGACAAAATCGACAGGGGGGTACCGAGGAATGTTTTCGAAAAATTTTGGAAAATCGATTTTGCTTATTTCGTAATATGTTGTAGCGCTGAATGTGTACTTCACAAAAATCAAGAAAAAATACGGGAAGGGTGAAAACTACCCCCACCCCTACATAAATTTTTGTATAAATATTTTCCAACTCCACAGACGGCCTATATATATATCTTTTCGTAAAATAGTCCTTCTAGTATTTACTACATTTTTTGTCTCTTGTAAAAAAACGCCACATCGCATATTTTTTTCAGAAAAAAAATATTTTTTCGAAGCTGACTTTCAAAAAATCTTTTTTGTCAGCGGTGGGGGTAGTTTTCACCCTTTCCGTACTTTTTCTTGATTTTTGTGCAGTCAAATGTTAAAGTACTTAGCGAAACATAGACACCCAAAATATAATTTAAATTGGAATAATGGTTCTTAAAATATCTGAAAAAATGTGTATTTTTTTAAAGTTTGATGCCCCCTAACGGACAAACGAAGCACTTTTGTATTGAAGTAAATTTAGTCCAATGAACTTATTTTATAGTAGTTCTATATCTACGGAATATTGGGACACCCTATATATCATGGCTACTAAAGTAAATATTAGTAAAAAATATATATTTTTTTAAGTGTTTACATTTGGGAATGGATACGTTTATTTATTTTTATTTCTGCTTTGTGTACGTTATTTATTTAAAGAACTACAAAAAAAGTTATTTTTTTCTTCGCAGGATAAAAGTGATTTTTATATTTGAATTCAGTTTAATTCAATATTTGTGCCGAAGACATTTTAAGATTTATGTTAACATATATTTCAATAAAAATTATCTACGAGATTAAAGATCTGTATAATTTTTCCCAGTAAACAAGGGACTTATACTTAGCATATATGATGTGAAACTTTGGGCTAAATATTTGATCTTGAAGTTTCTTTTGGTACAGTTTGTGATAACTTGGGAACGACATAGAATAATTCAAATTGTTGGAAAGTTTTAACTTTTGACCAAGATTGGATTTAGTTATATTTTTTAATGAAGCAGTTCATTACTGGCATCTTTTATGAGATCCTTTTTTTAGCGTAAACATTTTTGAGTAAATAAAATATAAGAAAATGATTTGTTTTCTTATTATATTATTTATTCCTTACTATTCCTTATTGTTATTGGAGAAAATAAACACTTTTGAAAACCATACTTTTTTACTTTTTTTTATACTTATATAAAAAAATAAACTGAATTGAGTAAATAATAAAGATAAATAAAATACAAGGTTGGTATATTATTTAAGGACCTATCTTGAAAAATATCTGAAATATTTATAATAATTTTACGAATAGTTTCTTTTTAAATATTTGTATTTCTTTCCTAGATCAAGCTACTGGTATCCAGACCCAACAGATCATCACTGGTACGCCTGTGGTTGTGACACAGAGGCCCGCCCAACAGCAACAGACTGTTACACATATCCGGATACAGCCTCAACCTGCTACGAACTTCCAAAGGCGAGGATTGGCGCTTACGGTATGTATTAAATAAAATCACACTTTGATTAAAGTAATTGATTAAAGCACTTATTTTTTGTATTTATTATATTTTTGCTAATATCTTCGGTTTGAAAAAAGATATCAAGATGTGGTTTTCGCTGACTTTTTAAGCTTTTATTCCTCTTTACTATCAGCTAATATTGCACATACTATTGCATTTATTTTGTATGTTAAATTGAAAGACAGCGCCCCTAACATCTATTGCGAATTACTCATTATTATTGTTTATACATAACATTTAAATAAAAACATATCTAACCGTCCCCCGCTACTTCATTTTAGCGTATAGAGTAAAATTAAAGATTAGAGAGATATGGCAAAGTCCAATACTGCCGCAATTCCGCTATTAGTGCTGACGTTATTTTGACATTTGCATTTTTCGAACTTCGAGTTATGGCAACACAAAATAGCGTTGATTGATTTTGACAATTATGCCAACATTTTAAAAAAAATAGCCTTAACCTAGTTTTCTGATTTTGTCAATCAAAAGAGCATCTATATTCATCGTTTTTCTTTATTTTTATAAAAAAAAATAGCTATTAAATATATCAGGAGTTTTAATTAGTGTCTAAAAGAAAGTGTGTCTAAAAAAGAGTACTATTTAACCCAATAAAGAGTTATCTCGATTTCTATAAAAAATACAGTATCTCAACTGATAAAATAACGTTCCGAAACTGTCAAATTACCGCACGGCGTCTTCTCCACCTAAATACCGGCATGCGGTAACGTTAATAGCGCACAAACGCTTATTATGACACTTTAACTGTCATAGTTGACAAAATAGCGCCTCCGTTAATACCGCATATTGTTGCCATATCTCTCTATTAACAGAGCAAAAAAAGATTATTGCGCCATTATATGTATGCAGTACCTCTTATACAGGGTGTCCCAGAAATAGGTGCAAGTATTTTAACTGGTATAGTAAACGCCACGAATGTTTGGGAGTGATTCATCGCTTGATGAAGTTAGAATAGACACGCGCGCTTCATTTTTACATTAAAAACGTAAATTTTTACTGCAAACGTAGGTTTTTAAAGGCCCGGTCTAATCATCTGCCCGCGCTCCTCCTACTTATTCTGAAATGTTAGCGTGATTGACAAAGATGATACTATATCGCGTTTCTTTGATTGATTCGTTTTTGTGCGTCAGTCCATTGGTGTGCTTGCAGTGCGAACAATGGGGCATTCCAGTTTATATTTATAACCAAATATATGTTTTGACAAGACTTTGACAGTTAAAACAACAAATTACAACAGATTATATATTGATTATTATATGACTTGAAACATCACGGCACTGGAATTAAGTTTTATGTAACCTTAAACAGATTAGTTCTCATGGTAACGACCGATGAATCACTCCCAAACATTCGTGGCGTTTACTATAGTATAGTTCAACCCCAGAAACACGCCTATCAGGTTTTTTCGCGAATTTTTTTTTTTGAAAAATCAGAATTTTTTGAATTTTTTTTAGTTTTTATTTAAAAAACATAATTTATTGATAATAAGACAACATAGGTAATAGATTAAATTTACAGGAAAGAAAATCCAGAAAAGATCCAGTGGTTCCCAAAATTTTAGCAAAAATATTTTTATTTTGGAAATTTTTAAAGTAAAATAACTCCGTTATTTTGGACTTATTTGAAAAACGATAAAGAGAAAATATGTTTGTTTTATCGAGATCTACCACCCCTTTAAATACTTGCACTTATTTCTGGGACACCCTGTATAATTTCATTTCATTGTTGTTGCGTCCTCTATTGGCCATCCCTCAAACTTGAAAATAATTTCTCATGGTCTCTATAGTTACAAATATATTTTTTTCTCAAGCTCTACGGCTAATACTTTCCGAGATACAACCGAGAGCTATTCTTAGTTGAACACCCTGTACAGGGTGGGTCAAATTCGACGCTTTTAAATGGAAACACCCTTTTCTATAGGAGATAGACGAAAACTAATGTCGGTGTCTGGAGCTCAATTTTCATCAAAAACATGATGGTGAAAACCGCACATCAATATCTGTTACCGTTTCGGAATTACGGGGTGTTTTTCAAAAATGCGCATTTTTAACAAATCGCTGTAACTTTTTTGCTATGGAAAATGTTGTATTTCTATGAAAACCTTTCCAAAGCATCTTTTTACGTAGAATTTAATTGTTTAAGTATAATTTTTTTAAAATTAATAATTTAAGAGTTATCAACAGAAAAATTGATTTTTATATGGGACACCCTGTATATTTTTAATTTATTGAAAATAATTTAAAATTACCTTTCCAAAAATATAACACACTTGATATTTTGCTCGATTCCTCTTCGAGATATAGAGTATATAAAAATTCGCCCGCTTTAAATAAGTAGGCTTTGAACGGCACCGGCTGTAATGCAAAAAAATTCTAGCTGTGAGCATCAATTAAAACGAAAATAATATTTGCTATGAGAGATGCAGAATTTTATAACAATTTAAAATATATTTAACCAACATCAACACATTTAAACTATATCTCATAACAATAAAAATAAATAGCAAACCAGGACATGGGATTTTGCTACAGGTGTTCGAGATATCGACCGTCTTCTGTTATGGACAGACGGGGCAGTTTTTGAACATTTCTTGCGGAATTCATTAACTCAGTGGGGGTGAAAGATACCCTCTCATAACTGCTAAGTATTTCTAATTCTTGTCTAGATTATACAGAAGAATAAGGAACCTTTGTTCTTCCGCAAATATATCCATAGGATTAGATCCATGGGCACTAAGTCAGGCGGCCTCGACGACCAACGGCTGAGTTCTTGGTCAGCTATTCAATTATTCTTGAAATTGGCTGCAGAAATTTGCTGATAACTTCAGCGTTCAGAGGCGGTGCGTCGTCTTGCTGGAAAAATATGTTTTCGAGTTCCATTAAGGGCATATCATCAATGAGGGGTCCAAAGCCTACTAGTTAAAAGTGGCGAACTTTTAAAAAATCTGTATTTCGAAGGGGATTATAACAAAATATCAAGTGTGCTATATTTTTGGAAAGGTAATTTTAAATTCTTTTCAGCTAATTAAAAATATACAGGGTGTCCCATATAAAAAATCAAATTTTCTGTTGATAATTCTTAAATTTGACCCACCCTGTACATTTCTTCTTGTATACCTTACCAAACTCATTTTTCCAGCGCGAACAAATGTTGGAGGCCCAGGATATGTTCCGCACAGCCAACAAGGTCACCCGGCCGGAAAAAGCCCTCATTCTCGGTTTCATGGCCGGCTCAAGGGACAACCCTTGCCCCCATCTGGGCAACATAGTCACCATCAAACTGTCCGAAGACCAGGAAAACGTCTTGCAGCCTGATGATACCTACGTGTCCATGATGGTGGAGACGCACTTCCAGATGAACTACAACAACGGCGAGTGGAAGAGGATAAAAAAGTACCGTCACGTGAGCAACGAGATCGAGCACGTGCAGCAGAACCAGGCCGCGGCCGCTTTGGTATGATTGAAAACGAATAACAGCGCGGTTGGTTGAACGTGGAAAGTGGAAAGGCCCTGTATATAAAAGGAATCGAGATGTGGAGAGTGTAATAAGAGTAAGTCTGGAGAGACTGATGTTTTGCGAGAAAGAAAAAGAGTCAACTTTTGTATAGGAACCTTTAGTTGGTTTTAGAGAAAATATTTTTTGTTGGATGCGGTTTTTCTTCATCAAAAACAAGAATTTAGGTTATTTTATTATGTGTGTAGTAAGAATAAACCTTTCGAGTTACACCTATACAGGGTGTACGAAAAAATTCACAGTAAGTTTGGAAAAATTTTATATTATTGAGTTATTGACAATAGGTTTTTTTTATTCAGCTTGTGTAATAGTTATTATTTCATTATTTCAACTTGTGTAATATAACGAAAAATCAATTTGGCACACTATATCATGCAACAACTGTCATGGCGGCTGATTATAAAAATCTCCTTTATACAGTATGTCCCCGGATTGTCTTTAGAAGAGGAAAAACTTTTTAATTATTGACGTTTTGAGAAAAATGCATTCATCATAAAAAAATTTGCGTGTTGTACAATGGTTAATCCCGTTTATACTTTTCCAACTTTCTATACCGTTTTATAGAAAATTAAGAAAAACATGTAAATAAGTCCTAAAAATCAAAAGGCGTTTCTATGGTAATATTAATTTGATTTCATTCTTTGATAGATGGTTATTGTTAATTTTAATTATTTTTTGATTAATGCGTTCATTCTTTGCTGTTAAAATATTATATTTTCCGATAACTATCATCACCCTTTCGTAGCATTGAACTAAATAAATTTTGTGCTTCTTTAATATTTTAAAACAACAAAGAACATTACGATAATTAAAATTCTATGAATAACAATCTATATATCAAAGAATTACCAAGTTTACACGAATGCTTAATTCGCATTAGTCAATAATGCGATTTAGCGAAAATACGGTTTGGGTCGTGTTTACACGACGGGTTAAAAAAGGGATTTTTCCGTTGACGTTAAACAGCTGTTTCCTATTGCCAACCTAGGAAAATTCAAAACATAATAATATTGCTTTTGCTTAAACAGCTGATATTGATTTTTCGCAGTTTTAACAAATAATTCTAAACTTTTAAACCTTAAAAATGTATAATCTAAATATTATTAGTGCCTTTATGGTTCTGTTAAACCAATTACTATATGAAAGAAGAAATCATACTAGAATTTTACGAAGAAGGAGGCAAACTCTAAAAAGAATGAGAAGTTTAATGTTAGATTCTTATTTACTACCTTGTCAGATTGTAATGGAAATACCAGGATCAGTTTTTCAAAACTTTCCACCGAGGTTCAGGAGTTGTTGGATGAAACCAATGATGAAACCAAGGAGTGGTCAGTTTTTTTTATAAAATAAACACAAAAAATAACCTCAATATTCGTTCAGTCAGCTGTCGGTTTAATTTTTTTTTGTTGTTAGAGCTGCGAGATAATGCGCATTTGTGTTTACACGAAACTTTAATTCTAATTTAAGCGAGATAATCCACATATTTAATGCGTTCTGAGTTAATGCGAATTAGGATTTTTAAAACGGTTTACAAATGTTGATACAGGCGTTTTATTTAAATTCGCATTCGGCTAATGCCCATTAGGGTGCTCGTGTAAACTTGGTAAATGATAATGAAGTTATATTACCATAGAAACGCGTTTTGATTTTTAGGACTTGGAAAAAATTCAACCATATTTTCATGTTTTTCTTAATTTTCTCTAAAACAGTATGGAAAATTGGAAAAGTATAAACGGGATTAACAATTTTAGAACAAACAAAAACTTTTATGAAGAATTTTTCTCAAAATATCAATAACAAAAAAAATTTTCCTCTTGTAGAGACAATCTGGAGACATACTGTATATGCAACGTGTAGGGTTTAGGTGAAAAAAATACAATCCTCCGAAAATTATAAAAAAATAATATTTCTGAAATTCCCTATATATTTATATTATATTATTATATTCACAATCAAATTTTGTTCGTAGATATAAAATCAAATTCTGAACACTACGTTTTATATATGCAAGGAGAATTTTTGTAATTTGGCATGACATTTTTTACATCATATCACAAAATAATTTTTTAGTAATTCCGCATAATAATATACTTTTTTTCGGTAACTCAGTAATAAAGAAAATCCCATTTGTTAAGAACTTTTTGGCACACCCTGTATCTTAGCAGAATCATTAACTGTTCTCTATATACCATGTGATTAAATTAAAATAATGTCATAGTAAGCAGATAATCGAAATAATGTCATAGTTATACATAGATCATGGAGTTTCAATATAGTTGTCTTGTTATACATGTCTGTTTTATGTTGAGTCAACTAATATTAATAATAACTAAAATTAACTGAGAAACAAGTAAATTCTAATAAAAAGAAATTACTGTACTGTAACATAGGATCAAGTCTCAGAATTGACTTATAAATGAAGATAGCTGTCATTTTATGTGTTAAATTATAAAGCAAATGTCAACTTGACACATTTTTTTCGATCATACGGTATTTAATAACAAACAAACCTAAAACTAATAACATATGTCAACATACAACTGTCACTGTCAGGAACTTCACTGATTGACATAGTAAGGCTTGTACTGAAGTGCTATTCTTCGCCTACTATGACGTACTTTTTTATCAATCACATGGTACTTTTGAGATCATTTCAAGGAAAGTACAGAGGCACTCGTTTTGATGGTGGGTTCAAATAGAAAAATAAAATAATAAGTCAAGAACCAACCCTTATTATTTTTGTTTACTTCTTTCTGAACCCATCCATTATATTATGAATTTGAACTGTGCACTAAAAAAATAATACAGGGTGATCATATTAACATAACCACTTAAGGAAAATAGGAAATAAAATTGGTTGATTTGACAGTCTTCCGCCATAACGTGGTGACTTGTAATACATAAAAAAAGACAATAAACATGTTTATAAAGAATTACATAAAAATAAGACTGAAAAGTTTTTAGTTACTTTATTGTCAGTCACCCTGTATTTTTACCTTTTTTAAAGAAAAATGTTTATTTTTAACCTTCTTTGAATCTTGGAAAATATTAAATTATTCTAAAAAATTATATTAAACACCAAAATTGATTAATTAGGAATAAGTATCACAATTTTTCTAAGAGAATATCTTGATTGATTAATTTACTAGTTTAATTACTAATAAGAATTAGATTTCATGGTAAAAACTGGCCATTTTTACAGTACATATTTTTATAACCGTTAGATTTACATTTTCTATAAGACTGACAAACCCATTTAATTGATATATTTAAGAGTAGTAAAATTATTGGTATATAATAATAATAAAATGGCCAGTTTTGATCTGAATAGTGCGATTTTTGTTTATTAATATAGTGTGGCCCAAAAAGTTATATGTATAAAAACACTGTGTAAATCAAAATACATTATTTTTAGGGGCTATTGTCTGAATAATTTTTTTATCTCTAATTTCATTGGCTACTGTGTTATTTATTTGTCTTTTGAATGCAGATATACAGTGACGACCAAAAAGTTTGTAGAACTCTTTATTTCTTTAATACTACCATATGTATACGAAAAAAAAAGGACGTCGGTGATGGCTATGAAATGAAGATCACTGTCATTTTATATGTAAATTTATATGGGAAATGTAGTTGATTGTCATTTCCCAGCCAACTGGACGCCATTTTTTTTTCGATCATACGCTATAATAAAAAATACCTTTTGTTGGTAACTTTTTAGGTGTCACTGTAAAATAAAATCACTTTAGGTTCTTTTTTTCGACATTATTTTATCATTAATTAAAATGTGAAAATGTAGACAGTAAAGTAACTTGTTTAGAAATATTTATTTTTAATTAATTTTATTACTGAAGTATTTAATATCTTAATTTATTACTTTCTAATATCTTTTTTGTAGTTTCTCTGTTGTTTTAAAGTTATTTAACTTTTATTTAGTTAATAGTGTCATTCAACATCTATTTTCATATACTCAGTCTCATTTTTATGGCAGCTGATTTTTTTTAATAAAAACAATACTTAAAAGAAAACAATTGTAGCTTTTTAAGATATAATGATGTATTAAATTTTCAAAAACTATTTTGGGAAAGAGGAATAGTTTAATGTGAACTTCGAAAAATGGGCTGATAAAACAATTATTAATAAAATTGGAATAATATAAAAGTTACTAAGATGTATATTTTTGCTCTTTTGAGATTTTTTTTTGTATATACTATAGAAAGAGATGAAATGCTGTGTATATATTTATTGTTTTCATAATTTTGTAAATAAAATTAAATTTGTTACAAGAGTACATCAATTACTTATATTGTTAATGCTGATAAATAAAATATTTAATATTTTTGACATGATTGTTTTATTTTTTGACATTATCGTATTTTTAATATAGGCATATACAGGGTTGTTCACCACATACAACACGGAGTATTGTAGCTAAACGATTAGATTTTTACAAATTGTAAGTTTTGGGTTCGTTGAAGGACTATTAGAGCTGCAATTTAAAAATGTCAATATTCCATGGGTATTTTGATAAACGAGTTCTAAATTACAAGAAAATGCATTTTCTACGGAAACTTGAAGAGATAGGTAAAAAATGGTATAACACAATTTGATAGACAATTAAATTGTGCATCTGATTCTCATAAAATATACAGGCTGTTCCATTTAAATTAAACAAGTTATTGCCGTGTAAAGCTACTAATTATTTAAAATAAAATTTTAGACACTCTGTATAAGGTAGTATAATTTTTATTATTGCAACATAATAACTGATCAATAAATAAACTTCAGTAAATATTTAGTATTAAAAACTTTGATACCCTTGGAGAAATGAAGCCTTAAAATTTTGACTGCAATTTCACAAAATTGAAAATATTTCAAAACGGTAAGGTTTAAGTGTAATAAACCTTAATCAAATTTGCCTTTATTTTAATCGTAGAAACTAAAAATGTAATAATATACAGGGTGTTCCATTTAAAAAAATACAACTTTGATATTTTTTATTTATTTGGGACACTCTGTATTTTGTAAAAATATTTTTAAAATTGTAGTTCTAATAGTCCTTCAACGAACCCAAAACTTACAATTTGTAAAAATCTAATCATTTAGCTACAATACTCCGTGTCGTATGTGGTGAACAACCCCTAACTAAGCATATACGGTAATTGCAAAACAATTTCAAATTTGAGTGACAATCGATGCGCTGCCAGATTGTGATGGATTTATGAAACGAATCTTAATGTAAAATTGGGAAACAATATATCATTTTTTAAAGATTTTTATTTTTAATTGAATAATCAATATTTTAGTAATTAATTTATTTATTAACAGTAGTCGCTAACACTCACAGTACAAATATTGAAATTAAAGGCAGCAGCTACTCGCTACAAATCGACATAAGTAGAAATAACTTTGAAAGTGGTGTAATGTGCTTATCAATCAAACTTCCTTCTCTGACTACTAACAAAGGACCTTTATTGTCACGTTTATCAGGAAAGTTACAAGCTCTTTGCTTCAAGTGTTTAAATGCTTTGTCATATTTTTATCACACAATTTCAAGAGAGGCAATACAAAAACTCGAAAATTTAGTTCTTAAAAGAACTGTTTGTGCTTAAAAGTACAATTTTTAAAAAAGACAATTATATGAAAATCGGCAAAAAACAAGAATTACTCCCAAAAATTCATTAACAACACGATATTATACAAAATGACTGACATTATGATAATTGTTAAATAATAAGGGACAACGTTGCTGAACACTGCGCAATGTGACCAACATGGCGATAATAAAATTCGGTTTAAACTAATTTTTGCAGCTTTAAATATATATTACAATAATTTACTCTATAAAGTAAAATGGAGAACAGCTCGCTATCTTAAATTCATTCATTGTGATGATTTAAAAGATTCATAAAACGGATTTACATAAAAAAGGGAAATAGTAAAGGGTGTAATAATTCTTCAAATTTAAATACTAGAAAAAACTTTATTGATGATTTATTACCTAGAATAACATAGGTAGACAATATTTACAAAAAATTTACATAAATTTTCTTCGAGCGTTTTACATACATTTTTCTCCCTAATTTAATCTGCAAAAATATGACCTGCGTTTACTCAAGTCAAATATATTTAAAAAAAAACAAGTTCTCTGGACAATAAACCATCTATGACGTTGAAGTATCGTGATAAATAGATAAAAAAAATATTTAAAGTTAAAATGTCAATACAACAACCATTTAAAATACGAGATATATAACTATTTAAAGATAAATTCAATCTGCTACACTACTTAACTACGCTACAGCTATATTTTGTACAGTTACATAGAACATCGCACCCAGTTCACAAAATAAAATAACTAGGCAGCTTAATAATGTATAAAAGGGAAAAATATAACTTCCCGAAAACTGCAAAGTTATTTTGGGGTGAAAAAGAAATAATTTAAAACCAATTTCAATGTGTAAAGAAAACTAAATGAACATTTTTTGAACAGAAAATGCACAAAAATTACGTTTATATTTAACATAGAAGTTACTCTAATTCTAAACTAGCGTATTCTTCGGGTGAAACTTGGGTCATCATCAGATTGCCGTCGGGTAACATAACCACAACTTTATGCGTGCCACCTGTAAAAAAATTTGATTTAAAAAAAATTGCGTGTGCACCAAATACGTTTTAATTAAAATATACTGCGGCCTCCCCATAAGAGCAATGAGAGAATTTATGTCCCAGTATTGAAGGACAGAAGATCGAGTTTGACATAAGTCCATCCTTGTTCAGTAGATGGATGTAATGCACATGCGCCGAAATGCTACTTTTCTATTGGCCGAATGGTGTCGAGATGGGTTATCGATTTATTTTTGGACGCGTCGTCGGCGTGGATTTTGTTTTCAGTTTGGACTTGGGCAGTCGCCGTTAGAGTTTTCTCTAACTTTCTGTTTTCCACGTGTACTGTGTTTTCGTTTGTATTTTAATCTTTGTGCGTTTATTGACAATTTTGTGATTTAGTTTTAAAGACTTTTGCTGTAGTTTAATTAATAGAACAATGGGAATGGGCTACTGCTTCTTGTGTGGTAGAAGCCAACTAACCAAATTAATAATAGAAATTTTTCTCGATGTTCGTTTGTATCATGAAAGCAAAATCAGAAATGAAAGGGATGTTAATATAAGACAAAAATATACTAAACTAATTTTATTCAAAAATCAATAATTGTTAAAAGCATTATATTTAGTCTTACTATTTTAAAATAAAAAAGACATTATAATGTAAAGACTAAAAATAGAGACTACATAAGGCTAATTATAATGCTTACACAGTTACACACAAACTGTCTTATTGTAAATTATTATTGTTTTTTTTTCATAATATAAAAGAGTATTTACAATGCAACAATGTAAATAATTATATTTTTTGTATCTAGCTTGATTTATGTATAAACTTAATATGTACATACTTTTAGTTATATTTGTTTAATAAAAAATATGTTAATAATAAAGAATTACTTTTGTTTCATTTTAAACCAGGACTGATGTTGATTATTGATCATAAATACATGGGCAGTAAAAGAAACAATAGACAGTAAAAAATGTACTGTTATACTTTGTTTTGCTGCAATTTTTAAGTCGAGTGAAATAGATATGCAATTTGTAATACTAAGTTCTTAAGACAGTTCCTTAATTGAGGTTTTACTAAATTATTTTTTGAATTTTAAAAAAAGTGAAATAGATATGCAATTTGTACTACGAAGTTTTTAAGACAATTTCTTAATAATTGTGGTTTTACTAAATTATTTTTTGAATTTAAAAAAAAAATATCGTACCTGTCACTTTTTTTCATTCGTTTTATTTAATAATAATTGTCTAACACAACAAAGTCTACTTAGAACGATATGATATAAATATAAATGAGTTCATTAAAAAATGGTCTGATTAAAATTAGTACCTAAATAAGCAAAAATTATCCCCTCATAAAACAAGAAATTAAGGAGTTCAGTAAAAGGATTGCAACTATATATTTTATTCAGTAAATTTTCATAATAGTAAGTATAAAAGCACAATCTCTAAAACGACAATATGAATAATGTATATTAAGATTTAACTCGAGTTTCAGTGAAAAAACTATATTGATATTAAAATATTTTAATACCTTCAGAATACTAATTACATACCATAAAATAGGAGTTTTTCGATGCGGGAAGCCTATCTAGAAAAAGAATTTTAGAAATCAGCAATGGGATTCTGTAAGCTCTGTAGCAAGAAATTTCCTATCGAGCCTATGCTATTTGTATACGATTGATGAGTCACTAGACAGGGAAATGTTTACAGAATCGCACTGCAGATACCTATTACGCTACTAGGAGCCCCCCATTGTGAGACAGATATAAAATAATTTTTATATACCTATTCCATAGCCTATTTTTTTAAATGTCTGTAATATTTATAATAAACTTATTTTAACGAGTAGAAGTATTGCACCAGCATCAAAATTAACACTACTTGTAAAAAACTGTTGCTCCTTGAGTTTGTAATAGATATAAACAAAATAAACATTCGAAAATAACTAAATCGAAGATATCTGAAAACTTTTGGTTGAAAAAGTGTTTTGCCATAACATGTTGGATACGATTAAAATATCTCAATTGATAAATATGCGCATAATGTTACATTATCAAACTTATTTGATTTCAGAATATTTAACAAAAAACTTCCAATTTTTCCAAAGATTTAATTCAATTATTAGAACGTCTTTAACCTCAACTTAAAATAAATAAAACCAAAACAAAACATATCATATGATTTGGAACTGTCCAATCAAAGTGCTTACAGATCGAGCAAGCGCAGAAAACCTCCTCCCGAACAAGGATAGACTTATGTAGGAAATGCATTGACATTCTATAGCCATCCTTCAACATCGGGACAGGAATTTAAGCGGTACTCTCCGTATATTTTATTAAAACGTATTTGGTGTGCACTATGTGCGCATATTTGAAGTGAAACTTCTTCCTGACAGCCCTAGATCATATACCGTGCTGGCAACTGTTACTTACTGTTACTTACAACTGTCTTGGGTCGGTATTTACATGTGTGGAAGTAAATCGCATAGGGATCTTACTAAGTCGGAGTGAGAGAAATGCGACGGAGTGCTGTTGCGGCGTTGCCGGTACAACAACCCATCTATTTACTTTTAGAGCATAGCAATTTTCAGCAGTCGTGTAATTTTTTTATTGATAAAGATTTTCACTTACTGTCTACGAAGAAAAAGCAGCAGAAATATTAAGAAAGTTTTTGAAAAAACTACAATCAATTATTTGTAATAGATTTCGAGATATCGATTTTTGAATTCAGAGTTCTAATAGCCACTGTCGAAAACCAACTCAATTCCACTTATTTTTACCAAAAATGCAAGTGTTTCTAGCTTCCACTTAAAAATTTTCAAGCTATAGGGAAAATTACGACTCGTTAATGAATAAACAAATAAAGTATCACGAGACGTAATTAAATCGTGAAGCTGAACGCATGATGTACACCCTTCCCTAGAACTTTAAGTACTGACAGAGGTACTGATTGGGTCGACCGGTCAACTGCGACAAATCTGCTATATCCCGTTCCACGTCTCTTAACAATGTGCACAGTTTCTCGCAGGTGGATGACACTTCTTATGGGAGAACTGGCAATGGTTGAAAACTTGACTACAAGCGATTTTCTAGGAATCTTCCTTACCGATAAATTATTGACAAGAGTGACAGATTAAACCTTGACGTTCTTTCAGTATTACAGTTCATCTCTTTTTCTTTCTAAAGTGTGCGTTGAAAGGAGACAAAAACAATTTTTGGTGAACCATAATTTGTTATTCGAACACCACTTTTCTCCTTGTCGGGTCATTGACGTTGACTTGTCGCCATTTTATTTCTTTTGTTTACACGCTGCATTTTGCTTTGCAAATTTAATACATAAATTATTTAGGCAAATATAGGTTTTTGATAAAACTCCTCGGACTAACGTGTAGGTAAGGGTTGATAAACTTTTTTTTTCATCTTAACATGCTCATTGTCATTCTCCTGATATAGGTGACAGAAAAGGATCATCAAATCAAATTGAATTTTATATTTTTTCATCCCAGGACCGATAGTAAAATATATATTTTATGGATACCTTTTTCTTTCCACTTAGGATATTGAAATTATTGTATACTGTAGTCGTGTTTGGCATTATGCTCTGAGAAATATAGATAAACAAAGAACAACAGATATAAAGCATCCCAGAGGAAAAGAGAGGCAATACCTGTATCTACTCTCTCTGATATTTGTGAAAGTTACGGCAAAGTATTGTTGTAAATGTCATCTTTTTGATCGACCTGAAAACTTCGAGCAAAAAGATTACAATACACCCTGACAGATATCAGAGACGATACAGGTTTTTCCTCTCTTTTCCCCTGGAATACTTTTAATTTATTATTCTTTGTTTATCTAGATTTCTCAGAGCACTATGATAAAAATGATGATCGATGACATTTCCCATATAATTTTACTTTCAAAATTATGATATATATCTTTTATTTCTAAGCCATCTATGACGCCATTTTTTTCAGTTTTGTTATAATTAATTTTGTCTCTTGATCTACTTGTAACATTATTCTTTTAATTTATTAATTTATTGTGGTGAAATTAATTTCTGTTGTATATTTGAATATTTGATAATGATATTAAACATATTTTTAAAAAATGGTGTATTTTTTGTGTTTTTATGTATGTCATAATTAAAAATAAATGAAGAATTAATTTTTTTTATTTTTTTGAACTTCCCACCATGCGTGACAATCTAGTCCGTAGTTCCTACAAGCGATATTGGGGTCGCTAGTAGCAGTATACTTGTCAACAGTGTCAAATTTAAACGTCAATTTCACTTTCCAATATTTAGCAAGGCGCTCGCACTTCTTGTGTATGTGTTTTGTGGTTTCTCGATTCATTTCATACGTTTGGCAACGTGTTTACTGTTCTCTCTTTGTTCAGTACATTATAAACGCATTGTACTCTTCTTACATACTAATAGACCCAAGACTAATCTTTGCCAGCTCTTAGTATACTTACGTGGATAAATCAACGCCATAAGTTTAACATTAAAAAATATGTCTCCAACATCAGACATGCCATTTTCAAACCTTCTTTATTGCACTTATGAAACGTTCAATAGGTTTGTCTTTCTCGAGGACCTTATTAAAAGTTGCACGTATTTCCAAAATAATAACAATTTTATACGGTTTTAGAAAGTACAAATTATACATTTTTATGGAAACCAACTTTTCATTGTCATCATATTATCAGAATCATATGTCATAATCTTAATCCTTTGTGTAATGACGCTTGTTTTTTGCGTTTTTCAATTTAAAAATTGTCCTAATTACTCTTTTATCGACTGCTTTTATATAGCCAAGGATGCAAGTGTGTTCAGTGAGAAATTAATTTTAAGTTTGTGCAATTATATTTCTATTTTTTTTTCGTTGGACTTTCCAAATACTCGTAAAATGACTAGAAAGTGTTTGGTGTGTGGAAGTTCTAATATAAAGGTCCCCGAATTATCTTTTCATAGGCAAGTAAAGTATTCAGTTGTTCTTTTATTTATATTAAGCCACATGCATACTTTCTGGTTAGATTTACTAAGAATATTGATATTTGTACAAAGTGGCTAAATGTATTTTTTATATAATTTAATTTTTTTGACAGTAAACATTCAACTTATTGTTCAAATATAAGCATTTTACAAATTAAATTTTTAAAATTGTTCAAATTTGGCGCGCAGACGATAGGTTCTCGACAAGGATAGATAGAGTAGAAGCACCGCGTGTGCAACAAAAAAAAAAGGAAGAATTAAGGAATTAAGGATAAATGGAAGTCGTTGATATGTTTGCGACAGTTTCCATTGTGATTTATCCACCAAAGTATATATGATCTAGGCTAACAGCTATTAAATTGAAAGGTTTGAAGGACATGTTTGAAAAAGTAATAAATTAAAAGTGTTTTTTAGAAGTAAAAATTAGTTTTCTTAACAAATAGAAGTGCAACAAATAGTTTTTTACGTATAACAATAATAGTTTTATACGCGTAAAATAAAAAAATAATGAAACAGTTTATACGTGTAAGAAATACTTTTTTACACGTAAAAAATAGTTTTTTACGTATAACAAATAGTTTTATAGGCGTAAAATAAAAAAATAATAAAATAATTTTTTAATCGCCATGTTAAAGTTTAAAAGAAAGAAACATTTCTTACCTGGGCTTGGAGGTTCGGCTCTGACCACCTGGGCTACGACCTGATCCTGCATTCCCTCCTCGATACCTTCCATAGTGTCTTCGGTACTGTCAGTTTTGATGTGTAGTGGGGCGTGCACTATATTACTAGCGTTATCTTGGGTCACTGCTGTCGCTATAGATACCGGAACAGGTTGTTCAGTTGGCGCTATATAGAGAGACACAGTTGAAATTAAAAAATTGGTCAAGTGCAAGTCGGACTCACGCACGAAGGGTTCTGTATCATTCATTATCTATACAACATTAGACACTATACTATTATAAACTTTTTTCCGATTTAGCTGAAATTTTGAATGCGCGTATAAGTAATTTAAAAAAAATGAAGAAACACATTACTAAAAATTGTATTACAGTTGTTATTTTTGCTGTTTTTGACACACATTCAGACACCATAGATAATTTTATTTCTAAGTTAAATAATCGTTTTCCTTCCATTAAATTTATGCATGAAATTGAGAACAACGACAGATTACCATTTCTAGATGTATTAGTTATTAGAAATACTAATAATTGCCTGGAATTTGATATCTATAGGAAAAATACGACCAGACGCAGATATATTCCTAATGAATCACATCATAGTGTTGAACATAAAATGGCTAGTTTAAATTTCTAAGTTCATAGATTACTTAGTTTCCCACTTTCCAACGAAAGATATGAAATAGAAAGAGATTACATTAGGAATGTAGCTGAGTGTAATGGATATTCTCCTTCACTAGTTGATAAATTAATTAGAAAACGTAGGTATAGGTTAATGATTTCTGAAAATTCGACTTTTCAAGTGGAGAAAGATACGTCTAAATATTTTTCGATACCGTTTGATGAGAGTTATCCCGTGGTCTAAAAGAAATTTTTAAGAATGTCAATTATAAACTTGTGTATAGTGCTAATAATAAATTACAAAAATTATTAGGTAATCCAAAGGATAAAACACCTCCACTAGAAAGGTCGGGTATTTATGAAATTTCTTGTAAAGATTGTAATCAGAAATATGTTGGGCAAACTAGAAGATCAATATTAACTAGATTTAAAGAACATTTAGCTCAGATAAGATATGGTAAACCGGATAAATCTTGCGTTGCCGAACATATTATTGATAAAGAACATTGTATAGATCTTAATAATTTAAAATTAATTAAAGAAGTCTCAAATTACAGGCAATTAGATGCATATGAAAGCATCAGAATTAATAAATGTAAAGATAGTATGAACAGAGTCAACGGTCCAATTCCTTCAAGTTCTTTGTTCCTACTACTCTAGTGGCGGAAATCTAACTGTTACGCTCAGTTGGCTCTGACTCGGTTGGCTAGATTTTGCCACGGCCACTCGGTGCCCACTGAGCGAGTATATAAACACTTAACTTGTAGATTGTACTTTAGTTTATAATCATCTGCTGATGATGCTAACATGGTTAGCGAAACGCGCGTCCAGTGTAAAATAAAAGTGTTTTGGTGTATTGTGGTGATTTAATGTTTTTATTTTGAAAATTGTATTAATCAATAATAAATATGTAAAAAGTAAAAATACATATGTAAAAATTAAAAAAAAGTCGCCTTGACTAGGATTCGAACCTGCCTTACTACGGCTCCAACCTCACAGCAGCGTAAAGTCCTAACGCTTTAACCACGCGGCCACCGAGGACTTGAAATATTCTATGTAAAATTCTTACTTAAAAGATAATGTTTAGTGAAAGTACTTTTTTATTTATAAATATATATTTAATTCTGTTTTTAGTATTTGTTCTTATAGCGGCAATATAGATACATTATCTGTAAAAATTTCAACTGTCTAGCTATAACGGTTCATAAGATAGAGCTTTGTAACGGACGGACGGACGGCGAAGTCTTACTAATAGGGTTCCCGTTTTTACCCTTTGGGTACGGAACCGTAAAAAAGACACCGAATCATCAAATCTTCAAAAAATAATAAATCTACTTACATGCCATAAGAGGGGCCTCCTCTGATATGCCCAACACCGATCCTGGGTTGGCCTCACTAGTTCCCGCCGCCTCCTCTACAGGTTGAACCTCGCCAATCTCGTTAGTGACCAACAGACATTGCTGTTGTCCGTCCGGACCTTGCGTAATCAATATGGTCTGTCCCTGAAAAAATCAAATGTTTTGCTTTCCAGTTGTACCAACTTGTTTCTTCGTAAAATAAAATAAACTAAAGTAATCGCAAAACAATTTCCGATGCACGTAATCAAGTTTGAGTGACAAGCGATGGCGACAGCGCTGCCAGATTGTGATGGATTTATGAGATGAATCTTAATGTAACATTGGGAAACCATATATTTATTACATAATTTTTTAAAGATTTTTACGTTTTATTTTTAATTTAATAATTAATTTATTTATTAACAGTAGTCACTAACACTCACAGTAGCAATATTTAAATTGAAGGCAGCAGCTACTCGCTACAAATCGAAATAAGTAGAAATAACTTTGAAAGTGGTATAATGTGCTTACCAACGAAACTTAATTCTCTGACTGCAGTCAAAGGTAACAAAGGACCTTTACTGTCACGTTCTCGTTCAAAATAGTTTATCAGGAAAACTACAAGCTCTTTGCTTCGACTGTTTAAATGCTTCGGCATATTTTCAACACAAAATTTTGAAGAAATTCAATACAAAAACTCGAAAATTTAGTTCTTAAAAGAACTGTTTGTGCTTAAAAGTACAATTTTTAAAAAAATAATATGAAAATCAGCAAAATAAAACGAGAATTACTCCCAAAGATTTAACAACACGATATTATACAAAATAATGACTGACATTATGATAATTGTCAAATAATAAACAACAACATTGCTGATCGTGGCGCAATGTCACCAACATAGCGATAATAAAAATCGTTTTAAACTAATTTTTGCAGCTTTAATCTAAATAAAATTTCTGTTATAGTCTTTGAATAAGAAGACTAAGGAAGGAGCATAATGCTATCCATGTATGGTGGGCGGAAAAAGGACTCTAGGGTGGGGATCCTTGACAGTTCTGTTTGACGATTCATTTGACACATTTGAATTTGATTTGAAATTTTGTGGATTTGTCAGTCTTTACGGAGCTTATTTTATGTTATTTATTATTTATTCTACTACTGATAGTTGTATAAAGGTAGTAAATCTAGATGGAAATTGTGGCAGAACTTAAATTAACAGTGACACTGTCGCGATTTATCGAAAAAGACTCTAAAATAGTTGGTTGTGTAGCGTGCGGTAGATCTCGGCAAAAATCGAGTGAAATAATGGAACAACTTTTCGCTAGTAAGTGACTATATAATATACATACGTGTAGTAAATCGATCATTTAGGAAATTCACTTAAATTAACTAATTATATATTTATTCTTGCATTTTTGCTTTTATTTACTACTTGTCAAAGATTAGATGTCAAAGAATTCAGATACGTCAATTTGACTTACCTGCTTCAGTAGCGTATCGGATGTTTATGGTTATAAATAATTATTATAACTTATCTATTTTTATTAGAATTTTATATTTTTATAACAATTTTAATAACTACCAACATTTATTCACAACGTAAAATAATAAAAAAAAATATTGAGTCTACCCCACGTCTACCCTACATCATAGTTTTACGTTTTTTAAATAAAATTAGAACGGCACTGATAAACCGGAATTTAAGTCGGCCATATTTGAGGCCCATCGCGGTGGATCTAAGATTTTTGATATACTCCTTCCTTAGTCTTCTTATTCAAAGGTTGTTTGACAGACTATTCTGTCGTTTGACAGACTATTATGTCGTTTGATAGACTATTCTGTCGTTTGATAGACTATAATTGTCCAACTGGCAGATTATTTTCTATATAAGGTCGCTGTGATTTACCTGTTCGTTTTGTCCAGCTACTTGGTAGATGGTACCGTCGTCGCCGGTGATATAAATGGGATTGTCACCGTCGGCCATCGTGAATGACGACCAGTCAGTGACCGCTTCGGCTTGAGCGACAGGGGTTTCGGCAGACGCTGTTTCTTGTGCGGTTACTACCGGCGTTTGAATCTCCTGTTTAACAACAGCGACGGGCGTAGATACGGCTTTCTTGGGACTGAGGACTTTCTGGGTCTTTGTGAGAGTACCGACAGCTGAATCGTCATCTAGTAAGAAAGGTACATCAAATAAAACATCAGGAAAAACAAAACCATTAGGTAACTTAAGACTAAATTTCAGAGGAAATCTTGTCAAATATATAGCAATATGTGAATGTACCTGTCAAACTGGGCATACTTATAACAGCTTTGGGTTTAGACAGTACATTCTGGACCACCTTAGCGGGCGATGTCCTGGTACTGATGATGGTTCCGTCGGATTTCCTGGTGGTAGTGACCACTCTTTGAACGATTCTGGTAGCGGGCTGCTGTCTTTGCGCGTACTGCGGTGTCTTTTGGACAGCACTTGCTGGGCCACCAGATCTACAAAGATAAAATTAAAGATAATAAAACAAAATTCGTTTGAAGCTGTTAGATTATCATATAATAAATAACCAAAAAAAGTCACAAATAAAGATTGTTTGGTAGTGGTTTTCACATAGATTTTGTTAATCACATTTAAATTTGATCATGAACTACCACTTTGAGAAGATGAACAACTTAATAATTTTCTTTCCAATACACAAAATGTTATCCACTACAGTTTGTTAATTTTTAAATCTTTTCACTTTACCCACACTTTTAAAGTTAATTAACAAGAAATAAATAGCAAACCATTACATTCCAACTCTGAAACAATTCTAAATGCTACTAAATTGCCATTTTCTGTCCATTTCTCTTTTTTCAAACCTTAGTAGGAGTAGTAATAGATTTAAAATTTTACAGATAAGTGTAAAGTGGAAGAGAATGGAAATAATTATATTAATAGTCATAAAAACTTTTAAAGAAGTGCTAATTGCTAAGTAGTATATATTACAGAAGGCCAACAAACCTCTTGAAGTAAATTTAGAAATAAACTGTTAAAATATAAAAATAAATTATGAATAACGGTAATTTTCTACAGGGTGATCCAATCCTGTTTCATTTAGATGAAAAAAAAACTGTTAATAGGGTTAACATTTTCTACAGTTTTTCACACAGTTTAACTGACTATAGTAAAGTAAACTGCAAATTTATTAAATGTACACGGAAGTCAAACACTATAAATCATAGTTTTGCTCAACATTTCACAAAACACCTAGTGGACAAGTCACTAAGTAATTGCACGTCAGATCTGCATATCTATAATGACGCAAGAGACAAGTTAGATATTTTTGGCTGTAATACTATTAAAACTTGTATCATCTAGTTTTTGATGTTTACTAACTTCCAAACTCCCCAACAACATTCAAGATTCAAAGGCCAAAATGACATTTCCCGCAAATTTTGAAGTATAATCCGGTGTTTAACCATAGTAAATTTTTGTTATTTTTAATATAAAATTCAATTGAAGTGATTAAAAAGTACTCCCTCAATACAAAAAGAAATGCAACGAAGTTACAATTAAGGAATAAATAATAAATCAAATTCAATACAAATTTCACTGGTTTGAAATGACGCGTAGAAAATTGTGACGTCACCTATCAGCATTTGACTGAATAGTTGACAGAGGGCGCGAGCCTCTGAAGAATAATATTATGGCGTGTCTAGTTCTCTGCTACAGTATTTACACAATATATCTTAAAATCACGTCAGATTTTTCTATTTTTATTAAGATCGTTTTTGCGGGATTATTCTTTATTACCCCAATATTAAATTTACTTTTATATTTTTTACTACTAGAAATTAAAACTTAAATTTTTATAATTAACAGGTTACTGCCATTTTTATCGTAGCACTAAACACTACCAAAGTTGTTCAGATGTTTGAGACGTTCGAGGGTTCGAGGTTAGATTAGTATTTTGTGGATTTTGCGTTTGGCGTGCAATACTTTGAGTTTTCAATTTTGTTTTATTGTACCCTCTTTATTATTTTTGTAATGAAGGGTGTTAAAGTTTGTTTTGTAAAGGGCTGTCTAAATAACTCTGAAGGCTCTCCAGAAAAAGTTTTTATAACTGTTCCTTTGGATAAAAGCCGTCGAAGAGCCTGGTTTGAAGCGGCAAGACAACGATATGTCAGCAAAAGTACGATATTTTGCTGTGAAGATCATTTTAACGTAAGTTCCTTAAGTTTTATTTTACAATTAATTTTATATCTACTTTGTACCTGATGGCAAACCGTGACACTTTTGATAGGTGACGTCAGAGATTGCAAAAGTGTAAATTTGAAATTCTTAATATTGATTAATTTTTTTTAAAAAATGGGATGAAATTGAAGTAAAATAAAAAAATACGGGTGTCATAAAATTGTATGAAGATTAATTATTTGCAATAAAAAAACTATGGTTAAACTCCGGAATAGTGGAAAAGTCAAAAGTTTGTTAACTCTTTCTACTAATTGAAAATGACTACCACTAATTTAGATGATCTGAATGCTTACATTGAAATTAAAAGAACAAACTTCTACGCTAATTGAAACCACTAATTTATTCCACTAATTATGAGGCTCTGAACGGATAATTTATAATTTCTGAACTTAACAATATATATTATTAACAAAATATAATACATACCTGACCACAGTAGTTCCTCCAATTTTTCTTGGACCTGCACCGATAGGAGCTGAAACGCTCTTTGTAGAATAAACTTGGACTTTGTTAGTTGCTGCAGCGGCCTGACGTGGTCCACCCAGGGTAGAGTAAGTCCTAGTAGGTTGAAGAGGTGATGGGAGAGGCTTTTGAGGGGTCAAGTTGAATCTAGGTTTGGGGGCAACAGCCCTGGGACGTCCTACGTTACCTGATATAAAAATGGAACAGTTCTATACAGAGGAGAATGCGCAAATCTATCAATATTAATGTTGTACTGTTCCTTTATAAGAACATTATGACCACAAACAAGCATGTATAAAAAAATATGTTAATCCTAACACTTACCATGTCCAGTTTGTGGAGTTATAACGTGCCTCACCACGGGTTTTGGCTGCGGAGTTCTCTGACCAATGGAAGAATTGAGAATTTTTTGCTGAACTACTCTACCACGTTGAGGCGTGCTTGTTTTGAGAGGAGATATAATAGCCCTTTGATTGCCTAAATTTTAAGAAATTTTAATAGAAAAATTAAAAAAAATTATAAAAGCTTACCTTGAGTCAATGCCTTGTTCAAAATAGAACCTTCGGTTATACCCTGACCGGTTGTATATTTGACCACTCGTCTGATGCCGGACGTATTGGGATCTGATTTAATACTATGAAGAATTGGAGATGGGTGGGATTCTTTGATTTCCAGAGCCAGCGGGTCGCTTTCGTTCTGTAATAAAAACATGCGTCAACAAACCGACTATACAGGGTCCGGCAAAAGTGCGTAGGGGCATCTGTAGCTCCTAGAATAAAAAACTCGGGAATTTTGTTTAAGTACAAACCTAAAGTATGCACGGGGATGTATTTCAGGAAAATATTTTAACTTATATAGGGTACAGATGCCCCGCGCCCTATTGCCGGAAACTGTATACTGACATTTTATACAGGGTGTTTCTAGCTGTATAGACATCTTCTTTAAAACTCGAATATGAAACGTTTCTACTTCTAATCTGTATAACCAACCAATACTACACTCACCTGAATATCACCCTCCAGATCCTCCTCCGTAATATCGGCCGCCGCCAACTTCACGATATTCTCCAACTCGTTCGTAGTAGGAGGGGCAGGCGCCGGCTCCTCCTTGATCACCACCGGCTTGTCCACGTACTCCCTGCCGGCGATCTTACCGGTGGAGGGATCCAGCAGGAACTCCCCCTGGGGACTCTCCGGCTCCGGAAGAGGCTCGTCCTCCGAGGGGAAGGGCAAGGGTTCCAGGCCGTCGTCCGACTCGTCTTCGACGCGCTGCTTGTCCGGCTCGCCCTGGACCTTGGTCACTGCGGCGGCGACGGTCGTCGACGTCGTTTCGGCGAGTTTCTTCAGTACCTTGGCCACGCTCTCGCCGGACGAGGAGATTTTGCGTACTCTGGGAGTTACCCTGTAGGGATAAAGAGAGTGTTTATTTAGCTGTAGGCTATGAATTAAAGTATATACTCTGTTTTTTTTCTCAGGTAAGATTGCGACAGACGATGACAGAAGAAAAGCAGATGTCCCATATCAATCTACTTATTTTACTAAAAAAAGTTTCTAATATTTTTTAAGTTAACTATAGATGGGTTTAAATATAAATCCGTCACGCGTCGTCTTTTGTTGTTTTTAACCAATTTTATTGGTTTATTTCAAAAATGACAGATCATATTTCAATTTTATTGGTTTGACGGAACGATGAACGACACACGGACGCCAATGCGTATGAACTCGCCCTTAGATTTTTGAGGCTTGTCAAAGTCTTACCATATTATAGGTTATAATTTTGTGGCAACTTATGTCAAATACCCTGCGTTTTGGAAGATGATGCATTTTGATTCGTGTTATAACGTGTGTTTTGTCTTTTGAAGTCAAGCTTGTAGCTTCCCTGATAAACTATTTTGAACGAGAACGCGACAAAAAGGCTTTACTACCCTTGACTGCAAACAGAGAAGTAAGTTTGATTGATAAGCACATTATACCATTAAATTCTGTGATTATTAGTTTGTGCATTCATAGCACCCTCTTACTTGCTATGGCATTGTAAGATGTACATCAATAAATAAATAAATAACCCATAATAACACTTAGAATAATCTTCATAATGGACTAGTTTTTGCCAATATGTAGTAAGTAAAATGAGTCCAGGCTTAAACTAAAACAATGAACTTACTTTTGTTGTGACGTCACTTTGACTGGTGTCACTTTCACTGGTGTAGATGAAACACTGGTTTTTGGAGAGACCTGCAAAGAAATCGTTAAATAATTTCACAAAAAATAAGACAAAACAGAAAAAGATAAAGTAAGCCTTTTTAAACAACATTATTTTTCTCAACATCAAGTGTTGCCATATTATGCTAAACTCACTTGTATTATCTGCTTGGTAGTGTTGCCATCCTTTTTGACGATTTTGATCTGCGTCTGTCCAATCTTTGGCGCCACTTTGACAATAGTCTGTCCACCGCTCGTGGCTACTTTGGACGTGGATGAATCCAATTTAATAATACCTAACATAAAAACAAAGATCGTCACAGTATTTAGATTTCTGTTTAGTCTTCCTAATTTCAATAATAATATATTCATAAATACAAATAACGAAAGAATATAAATAAAAAATGGGTCAAGTGCGAGTCGGACTCGCGCACGAAGGGTTCCGTACCATTCATTATCTATACAACATTAGATACTTTTTTATTTCTAAACATTTATTTAATTCTGTTTTTAGTATTTGTTCTTATAGCGGCAACATAGATACATTATCTGTAAAAATTTCAACTGTCTAGCCATAACAGTTCATAAGATAGACCTTTGTGACAGACGGACGGACGGACAGCAAAGTCTTAGTAATAGAGTTCTCGTTTTTACCCTTTGGGTACGGAACCCTAAAAAACATGAAATATGATCTTACCTGCAGTTTTTGACATGATATAAACCCCGGAACTAAGAGCAGGCAGTTGTTTCTGATTGATGCGTACCACTCCATTGGCGTCGGGAATCAAAATGTTGGAGGGCAAGATCTGCTGAGTCGTGCCGGTACTACCGTTCTTCACGGTCACAGCGGGAGTTTTGGGCACTGGAAAATACTCTGTTATTGCTCGATTAGAATTAACACAACAGAACTCCAGATTTATATATGCTATACATATTTTACAAAAATCATATACCTAATTAATTAATTTCATTAATGTTTTAAGTAAATTTTGTAGGATTCTCACCTTTTTTGATGGTCATTTTCGGTTTGGTAACTTCCTTGTCAGACTCTTCTGAATCCTCTTCGAGTTTGATTCGTTTGTCGTCATAGTCTTCGTCACTGTCGTCCTCGTGTCTGCGCTTAACGCCAGTAGAATCGTCATCGGAAATGTTACCGCACCAAGCCTTCACTTGGTTCAGAGCCTTTTGCTTGCTGGACCTTTGTGGACGTCTGAAAAGGAAATTATAGTAAATGCTTTTATTTGCTCTTTATATATTAAATATACTAAGGGCTGGCAAAGGTTAGTCTTGGGTCGTTCCGTATGTAAGAAGAGTACAATGCGTTTATAATGTACTGAACAAAGAGAGAACAGTAAAAACGTTGCCAAACGTATGAAATAAACCAAGAAACTGTGCACATTGCTAAGAGACATGGAAGAGGATATAGCAGATTCGTCGCCGGTTGACCCAATCAGTACTATGATCAGGACATACTTAAAATTCTAAGAAAGGGTGTACATCATGCGTTCAGCTTCACGATTTATTTACGTCTTATAATACTTTGTTTATTTATTAACGAGTCGTTGTAATTTTCCCTATAGATTGTAATTTTTTAAGTGCAAGTTAGAAACGCTTGCACTTTTGGTAAAAATAAGTGGAATTGAGTTGGTGTTCGACAGCGGTCGCGCTATTAGAACTCTAAATTAATAAATCAATATTTCGAAATCCATTAGAAATAATTGATTGTAGTTTTTTTCAAAAACTTTCTTAATATTTCTGCTATATTTTCTACGCCGACAGTATGTGAAAATCTTCATAAATAAAAAATACTCAGGTACTCAGGTTGGCAGATGCAAGACAAACATGAACCAGTGGGGCTACCTTGACGGACCTGTATCCTGTGAATGCGGAGAGGAACAAAATATGAGGCATCTTCTCTTATGCCCAAATCTCCCAAACATATGCAATCAGAGTGATCTGGCGGAGAGAAATACCAACGCTCTGGAGTGTGCCAAGTACTGGATATCCTGTATATAACCGCTGTGTGCATATATATTTTTTGTAGTTTATCTAATTCTGTACAAGTTTTGTTCCTATTTATGTTGATTATTTGACTATGTTTTTTTTTAAATGTATGATGTGCCTTTTTTATTAATTTGGCCGTTTTGTATATTTTATATATGTATTTTTGTATTTCTTCATTTTTTTTCATATACTGAGTTGGACACGAAAAAATAAATAAGTGCAAGTTAGAAACGCTTGCACTTTTGGTAAAAATAAGTGGAATTGAGTTGGTGTTCGACAGTGATCGCGCTATTAGAACTCTAAATTAATAAATCAATATCTCGAAATCCATTAGAAATAATTGATTGTAGTTTTTTTCAAAAACTTTCAATCAAAATACTAATTCAATCAAAAATACGCAGACAGTATGTGAAAGTCTTATAAATAAAAAACTTACTTGATTGCTAAAAATCGCTACACACTAAAAGTAAATGGACAGGTGCTTTAAAATTTTTGAAAAAAAAACAAGCCTATCGAATTTTTCTTATTTAAACATCTTGTAAAAGATCCGCATTTCAAAATAAAAAAAAAGTTTCAATATCTAAAGTGGTTCTTGAGTTATCGCGTGTTATGTTTTAAAAATTGAGTTTTTAAATTATCGCGATTACTGACGTTTTCTCGTTATAAAAAAAATGGACACCCTAACGATATCCTTATAATACCATTTCAGATGTTCAGAAACATATCTGATGATTTTATCTAGTTATCTTTTCGAAAAAAAGTCTTTTAAAAATAAGCGGTTTGCGATTGTGATTTTACTTTACTTGATAGGGAAAGGCGTACCGGCGAAATGTGGCAACGCTCCGACTTAATAAGATCCCTAGCGATTTACTTCCACACATGTAAATACCGACCCAAAACTAAGAGTTGCCAGCACGAAGGAAAAAAATGAAGTAAACGCCATTTTTTATACATTACAACAATAGTTATTTATTATAGGTATAAGTGTTTTTGTTTTGGTTAGGTTAGTTAAAAAATTTAAGATAATTTAAGTACTTACCCGCTAGAAGATTCGCCACCGTAATCATCGCTAACTCCGCCCACCACATTGCTGATCTTTGGAGCGATAGACATTTTCGGAGCGATAGGGACGTACTGCTGAGCCGGGGTCGTCTTGTACTTAGTCGGAGGCCTGCCTCGGCCTTTGGGAGTGGTTTGCAGCTGTTTAGCTTTCTCCTCCTTAACTCGCTTCAGTTGTTCTTCGAACTGGTCCAGCATCTTTTTGCAGTGGGTGAGGTTGGTTACAGGCTCCCAAGTGTTTGATTCACTGAGAAAAATAAACATTGAATTCAAAATATATCGGCAGTATAAATCTACTGTCGATTTATCACTAATAATTACAAATATCTATTACAATATTTATTTTTGTCCAAATAATGGTTTCCGTCCATTGGTTTTGGCAGCGCACGCCAGAATAGCTCGCAAATTGCAGAATTTTTTCCTACTTACATACTTGACACTCATCGTTATATTTTGAACAATTCACACAAAATCTTTAAAAATTATAGACTATGTGTTATTCTAATGTATAAGCTATATTATTGTAAAGTTTCATTAAAATCCATTCAGTAGTTTTGGCGTGAAAGAGTAACATATTAAACATCCATACATACAAACTTTCTCGTTTATAATACAAATAAGGATTAATTTGTTGCAAACCTTTTGACGGACACTGTATAGTGTTTAAAAGCTTTAACAAAAAAAACAGAAATCAAGTTTTAATTTTAACACCCTGTAGATTAGACAGGTGTTAAAATTTAAAAAAAAAATCAAATTTCTTGCAATATGTCGGAAACTATTCAGATATTCTCTATTCTATTTAGACTTTCTTCAATTTTGATTGCGTGGTAGGTATAAAAGCAGACTTTTATCATTAACTGTTATTTTTCAATATGAACCAGTGGCATCCATACGGACACACGCCTGGATTATTTGATTAAAATAAATGGTACGCCACTGCTTTATTCAAGAAAATATACTTTTAAAAGCTTATAACTTTTTTGTTTGTTGGGTTAAAGCATTCATTCAAAAAACAAGTATAACATTGTAGAAGTTTCAGACAACTTTTTGCGAGTGTTATCAAAAATGACAGTAGGTGTCACATGTCAGATTTTTAAAACTAAAAAAAACTTTTTAAATGGAACACCCTGTATATTAGTAGCGCATTAGATAGTCCCCTTTACTCTGAAGTGGGTCAAACTAAAATGATAACCGGTTAAGATAAGCGGTTTTTGAGAAAACAAATCAACTAAAAGTCCGCCTTGATATTCATTTACAGTATGTCCCTGGATTTTGGAAAATTCAACCATTTTTTATGTTTTTCTTAATTTTCTCTAAACGGTATGGAAATTACGAAAAATACAAACGGGATTAACCATTTTAGAACAAGCAAAAATTTTATGAAGAATACATTTTCGTCAAAATGTCAATAATAAAAAAGTTTTTCCTCTTGTAAAGACAATACGGAGACATACTGTATAAGACGGGATATCTGGCAACCTTGGATGTAAAAGAAAAACTAAAGAGATCAATTTTGTTAAAAAAAATATTGACAATCAAGATTTTTTTTCTTTAAATTTTTAACACCCTGTAGATCAAAAAGGAGATTACTTTGGACCCCACGTTCATATAAATTTTTGTCTTAAAGATATGAGGAATCACACCCTAAAATGTTTAAACTACTTAGGAAACACCCTGTATATCTATGAAAATCTTTTTAAAATATGAACTACTATTGACAGGTTATTTTATTTAGAGCTTTTAGAGAGAAACTTTAGATAACCCCGTATATTAAAATAATATTGTAATTTTTTTTCAAAAAATATAAAAATATCAAATAACAAATAACATTTTTAAAACTTACGATGGAAAGTTCTCCCACTTGATGTTATACTCCCATGTTTTCCTCCTGGGATTGAATCTCTTAGCCACAATTTTCTCCACCACGTACTCCTGTTTTTGCGTAGACAGAACCTTGGTTGTCCTAATTGCAGTATTGGTACGATCAGAACCACCAGATCCAACCTGTAATCAATGATTTATTTTTGTTTACAAATAGGAAACCTCGTTTTTATTTTTTAAAAATGTTACCTTATTACTTGGCAAAATTGTGACATCATTATTCAATTTGACTGGTACGTTTATTGATTTTTTGACAAACTTGCTAGGTGAGCTGTCCTCTTCCAAGTCGTCAGAATTCTCCTTGTTGCTGTCAACTAGAAACCAGGTAACAGGTAAATAAAAACGTTACCTTAATTGTTTTTTATTTAATAAAAATTTACTTACCAAACTCTATAGGTAATGGACGCGGAGGCTCATCAACCTGAAATAAATAATATAAATTTTATCATTAATTTTATTTATTAAAAATTAATGATACAAAGAGTGCAAAAAATAAGCGCAAAGATTTAAAAGTCCTGCACTTTTTAATTTCAAAATTTCATTAGTTTAAACTAAAAGCAATCTCAAAATTACTTATCTTTCAAATTTTTAAAATTTTATTGTGTATAAAAAAAAGCTTTTACCTTTTGAACCATAACTTGCTTGTTCTGTCTCCCTTTAATTTCTGTTACTTTGGCGTTTGCAATTTTCGTAGCATACTGTATGGACTGACCGGCGGTAATCCATGCAGTCTTATTATCGTCAGGCAATTTGCACCATTTTTGATACAACGTCCAAGCAGATAATGCATTCTCACCAAGATCCTAAAAATTAAATAAAAAAAGACAGAATTATTATATTAAACAATAAAAATTAATCTAATGCAACTCAAGGTATTTCTTAAACCATCTAAATTAATTATTTGTTAATATACTGACCTTAGTTTGTTTTGTTTTCCACAAAACGTAACCCCACACTTGAGGTTTACCATCGTTGTCACATGCAGCAGTAATGGCCGACTTTTTAGAACATTTGCCATCTTTATGTTCACTAAATTCCTCAATATAAATAAATGAATTGTGGCACTCACCACAAACCAGCACATCAAGCTTTTTTATCTCTTCTTGTGCCTCTGGAAAAAAAATGTTTAAAATAAAAACAACTGTTATATTTCTATATAGATTTAAATGTATTACTTTCAATAAGAACTTGATCCCTAGCTACTCCAGATGTATCCTGTTCACTATAGGAATCAGTTGATACTGGCTCATCGGGTTTTTCTCCAAGACCATCGTTTAATATTTGCTCTACGTTTTCCTCGGGTGGCTCACTAGTTACCGATTCGTCAAATTTACCATTTTGTGTATTTTCTGAATTCTTTTTCGGGGGCATCTTGTCGATTTCCTTTTGAATCTCTTCTATAGATTCAGTCTAAAAATAAGCAGGTTAAAGAAACAGTAAAATAATAATGATCAGCTAAATCTAAACTAACTAAATCTTGCTCAAACATCACCTGCATAAATTCTACATCTGATAAAATTGTTGAGTCCTTCTTCTGGGTCATTTCAGCTGATTGTTTCTGAGTCTCACTATCTACTTCCATAGACTCTGCTTCTTTACTCTCACTCACTCCCAAATTCTTGCTCGATACTGTCTCAGAAACCTTTTCATTTGAAGCCTCTGTATCGAGGTTTGTATTTTCATTTAATGTATCTTCCGCTGTTATTGTTTCTGACAAGGAGAAATTTGCTTCTAATTCATTAGTTTCACTCACAAGTACCGGAATTTGTTCTGAACTATCAGTGTCTTTTTGAGAACCCTCACTGTTTTCTTTCTCGTTTGTATCTAAACCTTTGTCTCCATCATTGTTATCAATATCTTGTGATCCAATACGTTTAGAACTAAGCTGCTCATCAGCAATCTTCTTGATAAATTGATCAATCGCTATAGAAGGGTCTTCCTCCACCTATGACAAACAAAAACGTTAATTTTACTTATTACAAATTAATGCCTATATGCAAATAACTACCTGAGTATCAAGGGCCTCTTCTTGTTGTACTACAGCGTCTGAATTATCCTCAGCGGAGCCCACTTCTACAGACTGAGTGGTTTCTATTGAGGCTGTATCAATGGAACTGAATGATACAGAATCAGATGTAATAATGTCTGATGCGGATGCTAAAGGATCTGGAACGACTGACGACTCTGCAGAAGTAAATTCACAAGGCGTCTGGTCTGCATTCGAAGCCGAAGAAGTTGTGGTTGGAACTGGAAAATCTGTAGCGTCTAAAGAAGGCATAGAAACGCTGGCCTTATGACCGGTATCTTTTCCAATTTCTTCCATAATTTAGTACTTTCAGCTTTATTTGTGTCACCTAAAAAAGATCCGAACAATAAGGCCATTTTTCGTCAAATCTCAAACGACTTTTCAAAAATAAATATTTTTTATATTTAGCGCCAAAAAATGGTTTTTTGGAACAAGCTTCAACGATATATGCAAAGAAAAGAATGGCCTCGCTGTCAAGCAAGATGGCCGATTAGACAGACGTGAAGAAAAAGGATGCCTGCGAAAAGTCAACTAAAATTTTGCAATGAAAAATATATGTTTACTTCGAAAAATGTAGCTTTTAACGTGCCATTAAGCTTTTGAGTAAAAATTTGTTGTGTACTTTACCTTACGAAAAGAATTTTAATAAAATCACCACAAGCGTTCCGTTCATAGCGAAAGTGCTGCTGCGTCAAAAGTACGCACTAAAACATGGCGGGATATGCCAATCAACGTTTCGAGATACGCCTGCAAAATATCAACTATTTAAGGTCTCTTCGCGACCTTTTTGATGATTAATGTATGAAAGTTTATATTTTTTTGAAAGAAAATAACGTAGAGTTGTAACGTTGGTAGATCTGATTTTTGATAAATTTTCGATTTTTGTGTTTGGGTTTGCCAACCTGACAAAGGAAAGAGAGATAGACTTATACAAATTTACCAATTGGAACAAGGACACACGACATTTAACCGCCAAATTTAAACTACATGCATTTCTGCAAATCAACAACTTTATTTATTTAAATATGAACCTTGTTTATTTTTAAAAGCTTACGACCTTCTAAATATAATACACAAAAACGCACTTGCCCCAAAAATGTATAATAAAGAATATTCTCATAACAGACCATTAAAAAACTTTTCAATAAGAAGTAAAATTGCATTTTCTATTAGTAGCAAATAATCATCATAAAAATCATATTTTAACCGGACAGAATGAAAAGTAATTGATTATTTACTTCAGCAAACCTTCGTTTTCTCGTAAAATGTTGCAGACAGCAAATCCAGTGAGCAAATCCCAAGCAAATCCAATGAGCACGCACTATGTGTATTACTGGTTGTCTATCTTAAATACTAAAGCATGCAGAGGTGCACTTAAAAATATTAGAAAATCAAGATTATTAATCAAATTTACATGAAGGTTAATAAAACTCATTTTTCTAATGTAATGTTTATTGAAATCCATTTATAATACAATTTGGACTACAATATAATTGTAAAAAAAGAGAACTTACAGGATTGATAATAATGCAATCTAAAATACCAATATACGTTTAAAAAAAACATAATAAATTAGATATTATCTTTTATTTAATTCTATAAAAAAGTCCTACTTAGTCTAAGTTCAAATCACGTGACTGGTTGATTTTAAGAGTATTATTTTAATAGAGATAAAGATTCTTAAAAATAATTATTTTAAAAAACTTATAATATGATGTTATATAGGACTGGAAATATTTGTGTCAATACAAATACATCACTAAAAAGGAATACTGCCAAATAAAAAAATACCAAATAAGGCACAACTTTCGACAATATTTACATTCAACATTTAACAATGATTACAAATTGTTGTATAATGCACATACAAAAACGTGTACACTTTTCAAAACCACACTATATTATATCGTATCACATAAATGGAAGATATTGTAGGTATTAAATGCTTAAACATTAGCTAATCACAATTTATAGTAAACAGCATGCACAAAATGCTTATAATAGCAAGAGTACCTATACTCTGTTTTTAAGGACTTTACAAAATACAATGTCCTACTCAGTCAGTGTATTATTACACAGGGTGAACGAAAAAAAAATATTTTCTTAAATATTTCTATGCTACACAGCTTTAACCAATGACTAAAGAATATAAGGACATGTAACGTCCCTATACGGGCTGCAGCAGAATTTGTGACCTTTTTTTTGTTTTGGTGGCAAACAATGAGTCATTTGGTCACCCGCGACAATTTTAGCGATTTTTAATAGTTTGTGTGTAGTAAACTTTGTATAAACTTTATTACAATGTTGATTAGTTGTTCAGCTTTCAAGTGTAAAAGCAGCAGCGATAAGAAAGAGCCAGGAGTTACGTTTCATAGGTAAATAAACAGTCCACTCCAACTTTTTAGCGTTTACTTATTGAATTCGATAATTATTCTTCAATTTCAATTAACATGTATATGTACTTGATATGTGCTATACGTCGATACTAGTTTTGTACCTTTTGTTAACATTTTAATACGTTTTTTTCGTAATTAATTAGGATGATACACCATAGGCGTAGTCAAAACAATTATCAAAAAATATAAATATTGCTTCAAACAGCTAGGTTAAGAAAAATATGTGCCACGGCACTGTTTGGTGTCATCGTCACAATTTGCTCTCGGGTGTTATTTGTCCTTGGATTCTTTAGTCATTGGCTTTAACAAATATTAGAGAGTTTTAAGTACAGGTATTAAAACAAAAATTGTAACAATATACCATAAAAACAAATTAAAAATTAAGAAAAACTCTTCTTGACACGCCTCTGTTTAGCGTTATATCGAATTTTTCTAAATAATATTATCTAGATGGGTTAGGTATATAGTATATAAATTAAATAAAAGAACATCTTTAGATAAGATAGCGTTATCTAAAGGATCGTCACCTGATAATATTTACAATATATTTCGCATATATAAATAGTGCATAAATATTGTTTTGTTTGAATTGAGGTGTCAAAGACAGTGCCGTACATAACTAATTTTATTCCGAAACAATAAAAGACATAAAAATATAATCTATATAGGTTCTCCTATGATATAATTCTAACAGAGACAATTTTTATCGGTCATTTTAATTCAATGTTATAAAGTGACTTTTCTGGATATCGTCTGTCAAAATAGTTTATACTGTCCTTTCTTTGAATAAGAAGACTAAGGAAGGAGCATATCAAAAATCTTAGGTCCACCGCGATGGGCCTCAAATATGGCCGACTTGAATTCCGGTTTATCAGTGCCGTTCTAATTTTATTTAAAAAATGTAAAATTATGATGCAGGATAGACGTGGGGTAGACTCAATATTTTTATTTTTATTTTACGTGGTGAATAAATGTTGGTAGTTATTAAAATTGTTATAAAAATATAAAATTCTAATAAAAATAGATAAGTTATAATAATTATTATAAAACTATTTCAGAGTCTTCTTCGATAAATAGCGATAGTGTCACTGTTAATTTAAGTTTTGCCACAATTTCCATCTAGATTTACTACCTTTATACAACTATCAGTAGTAGAATAAATAATAAATAACATAAAATAAGCTCCGTAATGAGTGACAAATCCACAAAATTTCAAATCAAATTCAAATGTGTCAAATGAATCGTCAAACAGAACTGTCAAGGATCCCCACCCTAAAGTCCTTTTTCCGCCCACAATGCATGAATACATGGATAGCATTATGCTCCTTCCTTAGTCTTCTTATTCAAAGGTCGGGGCCTTTTTATTCAAAGATCGGGACTTATTTAAGAATTTGCACTTATTTAAGACACACCTTGTATATCAGCTCAAATTCTAGAAAATCGTAACTATGTAATATTCCCGATTTTCTTAAATCTACAATAACAACTTTTTTAGTTTGTTATATCAAAAACTTTACAAAATATTTAGAATTTTCGTTCAATTTAATAGACATTCTGAGCACCTCTATATTTTAGCCAAAATACCATAAAATTGCAACTTTAAAATAATTTTATTATTCCTGGAAAGCCACAACAGAAGCTATAAACAGTAAATAACTATAAAACTGGACACGTTCTCTTATTTTTATTATATTTCAACAAGTTTCCCAAAACAAAATATGTCCAAGTTATAAAATTATTGTCCACAAATAAGCTTTTACGACCATCTTTCTAATTAACGAAATAAATGATGCTCCTAAATAAGAATGGAATGGTTTCCACTAATGGATACCTGCTGAGAACAGAGAGGTAACATTTAGAAACACGGCAGAGACAAAACTTTCACACAAAAATGGTTAAGAAATAATAAAAAATGTGTTTTTTTTTCGGAAAAATTCATAGTTCTGTTTGCCTGTGTGGAAACCTCTGAATATTTATTTAAAAAAAAAACAAGATAATTTACATAAGAAAAGGATTAAAAATGTACAGAGTGTCTCAAGACAGTCGAGAATCAATGAAAAATTACACTACACATTGATCAAATCTCTATACCTATGTGGCGGATTCATCTCTCCAAAAAAATCCTATATGTGTATTTCGCCACTGCAAGAAAATCTACAAAAAAATAGTCATTCACGTTAAGCGTTAAACCCAAACGGACACTACTTGTCAGAAGTTATGTTTACAGTTATACAAATTTGCCTAACAAAGAATAAAATGCTTAACGTTTCGGAAAGTTTATCTCTTTCCGTCGTCGGAAGCAAAAAAATACAAAGAATAAAGAAAAAAACTATTTAAAATATTTAAATTCAACTATTCCAGAACACTTTACTTTTTTAAGACAGATATGTCTACAAGAAACGTTACCGTTCTGTTAAAATGACATTATATCAAGTTAAACTTCAAAATTAGCAATTACTATCTGATAACAATTACTTAATAAGGTAAAACCAAAAAGCCCCAAACTTTCTATATGATTATTTTTAATTTTTACGTATGTTATGTTTATTTATGTTATGTTCTTTATAAAAAAGCCTCTTTTATTTTTCTTTTAGAGACTATCGCTTCTTTTATTTTAATTTTGGCGTTATTAAAATGTATCCCTGTGTGCCATGAATGCTGACAAATCTTAGATTAGTGAAAATGTCCCTTTCTTAAATAATCTTTATGTTCTTTAATTCGAACAGTTAAAGGGTCTAGATGTTTCACCAATATAAAACTTATCACATTCACATGGTCTAGTACCTATAAGTTAAAATGGATCTAAGTGTATTATTTTTGTTGTCTGTTAGGAAAAATGTCTTTATTAGTAAATCACCGGTGACAAGAGTTGGTCTCAGTTGGTTTAACGCAGCGGGGTGTTTACAAAAAATAACTATTTTATTTTGTAGATCTTTTTACAGTGCTAGTGACAAAATACGCATACGACTTTTTTGAAAAAATAAAGACTAGACGGCAATACAAATTTGGGACACCCTGTAAGTTGGAATTTACATATCATTAAATGCAACAAACATCTGATTAACTTTCCACATTAATATTCCTAAGTAAACCTTCGGTTATAACAGGAAAAAATTGATTACTTTAATAAAAAAACGACATTTAAAAAATGTCATGGTATACCGTGCTGGCAACTGTTACTTTTGGGTCGGCATTTACATGTGTGGAAGTAAATCGCATAGGGATCTTATTAAGTCGGAGTGAGAGAAATGCGACCGACCGAGGCTACGCGCGACGGTCCGCTGTGGCGGCGTTGCCGATACGCCTTTCCCTATCAAGTAAAACTGCTCCCTATCAAGTAAAACTGCAAACCGCTTATTTTTAAAAGACTTTTTTTCAAGAGAAAGCTAGATAAAATCATTAGAGATGTTTCTGAGCATCTGAAATGGAATTATAAGGATATCGTTAGGGTGTCATTTTTTTATAACGAGAAAACGTCAGTAATCGCAATAATTTAAAAACTCAACTTTTTAATACATAACAGGCCATAACTCAAGAACCACTTTAGATATTGAAACATTTTTTTTATTTTCAAGATCGGATATTTTACAATATGTTTACATAAGGAAAATTCGATAAGGTTGTTTTTTCCATTCAAAAATTGTAAACAATCCATCCATTTACTTTTGGAGCATAGCAATTTTCAGCAATCGTGTAATTTTTTTATTGATAAAGATTTTCACATACTGTCTACAAAGAAAATACAGCAGAAATATTAACAATGTTCTTGAAAAAACTACAATCTATTATTTCTAATAGATTTCGAGATATCGATTTTTGAAGATTCTAATAGCGCGACCACTATCGAACACCCACTCAATTCCACTTATTTTTACCAAAAATGCAAGTGTTTCTAGCTTGCACTTAAAAAAATTCAAGCTATAGGGAAAATTACAACGACTGGTTAATAAATAAACAAATCAAGTATCACGAGACGTAATTAAATCGTGAAGCTGAACGCATGACGTACACCTTTCCCTAGAACTTTAAGTACTGACAGAGGTGATTGTGTCGAACCGGTCAACTGCGACAAATCTGCTATATCCCCTTCCACGTCTCTTAGCGATGTGCACAGTTTCTCGGTATATTTCATACGTTTGGCAACATGTTTACTGTCCTCTCTTTGTTCAGTACATTATAACCGCATTGTACTCTTCTTACATACGGAAATCTCGACCCAAGACTAACCTTTACCAGCCCTTAGTATAGCAACATCTGTGTTTTAATACCTGTTTTACACTGATTTTTTTCACCCTAAGTGAGACAAACTTATTTACGTTTCATGCATTTTTTTTTGTTAAAACGACTCCTTAGTATTGGAAAAGATTTTAAAATATATATACAAAATTTTCGTGATAACCATATAGCACAACCAATGTATATAAGACAGACGGAATAGTATAACGAGACCAATATATACAGGTAAAGCTAGAAAGAAGTACCCTACTATCTACCTATTCAGATATTTACAAATCTATAAACTTATAGTCTTCAGCAGGTAGTTTTAACAGTGGTCTGAATTGATGTTATTTTTATGGATCCAAAGTTGTTGAAACATTTGCGATTACAACTTTTATAACTATTAAATCTTTTTAATTGTAATAAAATATACTTTCTTTTACGTTTTCGGTCATAATAGCAATAAGTGCTTTTATTTTTTTATACCGGTCTGGTCATCGAAAATCGAAACTGCGTGGTCTTGATTTTAATGTGTAAGCAGCTTAATGGAAAATCAAATGTATTAAAAAGAGATAAAAGTTAGGTTCATACATTTCTTCTATGCGGTATTGCCGGATTTTGCATCAAAATTTGAAACCGCACAAGTAGCAATTTATAAAAAATGTTGCATCTAGGATTGGAACTTTATTTTTCACAATTAGTTACGCATATTACTACAGCTGTAATAGATTATATTTAGCTTAGATATATTATTTTTACTTCAGTAATATACATAAAAGTTTTTAAAATAGTTTAATTTGTTCTGCACACATTTTCCTACAAATGTAAAAACCGGCAACACTGTATGCCGCTTTTTATTTTGCCTCTCTGTCTGTCAACCGGTCATTTATATTTATCTCTGTCATATGCATTAAAATACAGACCACGCAAATGGAGTGACTAGACCTAGCATATTCTTTTATCTCTTATTTCTTTCTAGCTTCGACCCAGGACGTTTACAAAAACAAATAAAATTCAAAGAGATTATAAAAATCTCCCTCTTATTCTATCGTTTCCAACAACACAGTTTCAGCCACCATTTCTTGTGTCGGTGCCTCCTTTTCAAGGCCGACGTGATAGCCTCGTCGAACGCCTCTTTCAGGTTGTTGCAGGTTTTGGCTGACGTTACCACGTAGGTGGCGTTGAGTCTGCGCGCCAGTTCCTGCGCTCGCGCCGTTGCCACAGTCTTTTGATGCTGAAATTAGATCAAAAAGAGGATTAAATACGTAAATATGATTCTAGGTATATTAATTTGTGTTTTATTATTCCAGAAACAGTAGTTAAGGTTAGAAATAATATAATTAGAATTTATATGAATTAGAATTTTTGACGATGTCTTATGTCAATTCTTAGGAAGTAACGTCTAGAGACTGACATCGACAAAACTATCGATTGTCATTCCTCAGCCCTCTTTGACGCCCTTTTTTCGATCATACAATATTTCAATCATTGTGGATTGCTTCGTATTAAACAATACAGCTTCGTAACAATACAGGTCAAAGATAATAGCTATTTTTTATACAAAACGATAAAATGGTATTTTATCGTCGACCGGAAAAATAATTTCTGAAGACGATAATGCAATTTTATCGTCGTGTATAAAAGAATATTTTTTTCCAAACGTTTTAAAAAATATTCAGAAATTATTATTTCAAGGAATTTATTACGAGTAGAAAAAATATTGTGCTGGGTTGGCGTTGGTTTCTATATAATTTGACAAATAAATAAAGCTGTTTCTTTAGTTGTCAATATTTTTTAATTCTCTTTCGTGTCGATTGCTGATTGAATTGGAGCCAGAAATGGCTCAAAACGAAATAAGTAAATTACCAACAGATATTTAGGCTGAGGCGATAAACGCCATATCCACAGGCCATATCCAAACTGCTTCCATTTAAATCCCGAATAACTTATGAAAAGGAATACAAAAAATTTCAAAAATGGAAGCAATTAAAAAACGTGCAAGAAGAAATAAAAGTTTTTAACCTATCCTCGCTGTTAAAGTATCATTTAATCTACCCTTGCGGTTAAAGTACTATTTTATCTACTATTTTTGATAGATATAAGGCAATTTTAACAGCTGCTATGAAAAAAAGTATCTAAAACAAGGACCTATAAATTTTTCTCTTCTGTGAATATACTAACCTGCCGACTGAGATTGCTTATAACCTCGAAATCGTTGAGTAGGTCCGATTGACAGCCGACCAGTACTACTGGCGCCCCCAATCGGGTGAGTTCGTCAGCCCATCGCTTGCAGGCGGATTCAAAGGAGGAGGGTCGTACTACGGAGAAGCACAACATAAATACATCAGTCCCGGGGTAACAGAGCCGTCTCAGAGATGCCCCTAATTCCTGTAAAAGAACGAAAATTGTTTACTATTAACTTTATTTAAATTAATTTAATAAAAAAATATTTAAATTAATATTACGTAAAATAATTAGGAGATGTTACGACGCAAGAATATTAAAAATATTCATTATTCAATAAAAATTCGTTGTACACATTAGTAAATACTTATTTTCCTCTAAACACGATTATTATTTGAGAGATCCCTTACATCAGAAGTGGGATTTTTTGTGTAGTTGTGAGAATTTAGAGCAGTGAATTCTTAATTTTTTTTGGCATAACTAGCGCAGTAATTATACCGCGACGTTAAAGGAAAAATTCATCTACATCCAATTCATCTGAGACTAACTCCACGTCCACTTGTTCAACGTGTTTGTCTTCATCGTCTACTTTGTGCTCACTAAAATTGCAAGCCTACCGAGCAATGACGACAGCAAAAAACCAGTGTCTAGTTGTCGCTTAATAGTCTACGGTCCCATCTCCGGCTCCCTTTTTTCCACCTGCGCGCAGACCGTTCCCCGTCGCCCGCCGCACGATCCGGCCGGCCGTTTTGCACCGGGGCCGCCGATTTGCATAATTTGCGACATCACCTTTCATGTTCCGGCCTCTCGCTTATCGCCCGCCTCTCGAGCGGTCCATAATTTCGGCCGGATTTATGCCGGACGCGACAAAACGGGTTTTAATGCGCGCCGCTATCGACGCCACTGATCTCGCGCAGCGGAAAGATGCTCGGACGGAGGTTAGACTATCGGAGGGACTAGAGGAGCAAACGAATTTTATTATATTTTAGGACAACATTTTTTTTATCAAACGTTACAAAAGTATGAATTTTTGTGACGTGGTTGATAATATAAAGGGTCATTTTTGTTACTAAGCAAAAAAAACTACTTTTACGCCTAGGCACAAAAGTACAAACTACATAGTATAATATATTGTTTTATTAAGAGTAAAAATGATGACGTTTGAAATAATATAAAAATATTTAAAAATAATGGCTTGTAAAGCTTTATTTTCATGCATCCGTTATCCGTTGATACGATAGTCCGGCGGCACTCTGATTGGTCGTAGTGTTTTCGCGCCACTTTTCATCCGTAATTTTTTTACCCCAGCTCGTCAACGGAGAAAGATCGTAACTCTGATCGTAAGATAACGGACGTTTTGACACTTTTTTGACAAACTTAATTTTACCTTAATAAAAATATAATAGGACAAGAGCTAGCAAAGTCGGGAAAACAAGAATTTTAAGAAAGCTGGCTTTTAATATATCTTTTTGAATAAGAAGACTAAGGAAGGAGCATATCAAAAATCTTACCGCGATGGGCCTCAAATATGGCCGACTTAAATTCCGGTTTATCAGTGCCGTTCTAATTTTATTTAAAAAATGTGAAACTATGATGTAGGGTAGACCTGGGGTAGACTCCATATTTTTTTTTATTTTACGTTGCGAATAAATGTTGGTAGTTATTAAAATTGTTATAAAAATATAAAATTCTAATAAAAATAGTTAAGTTATAATAATTATTTATAACTATAAATATCCGATACGCTACTGAAGCAGGTAAGTCAAATTGACGTATCTAAATTCTTTGACATCTAATCTTTGACAAGTAGTAAATAAAGCAAAAATGCAAGAAAAAATATATAATTAGTTAATTTAAGTGCATTTCATAAATGATCGGTTTACTACACGTATGTATATTATATAGTCACTTACAAGCAAAAAGTTGTTCCATTATTTCACTCGATTTTTGCCGAGATCTACCGCACGCTACACAACCAACTATTTTAGAGTTTTTTTTTTGCGATAAATCGCGATAGTGTCACTGTTAATTTAAGTTCGGCCACAATTTCCATCTAGATTTACTACCTTTATACACCTATCAGTAGTAGAATAAATAATAAATAACATAAAATAAGCTCCGTAAAGACTGACAAATCCACAAAATTTCAAATCAAATTCAAATGTGTCAAATGAATCGCCAAACAGAACTGTCAAGGATCCCCACCCTAGAGTCCTTTTTCCGCCCACCATGCATGAATACATGGATAGCATTATGCTCCTTCCTTAGTCTTCTTATTCAAAGATATATCTTTTGCTATGTTCTCCTGTGCTCTCTTGACCAAAATGCAGGCCGTCTGACTGCCGGTAGACTACTGTGGTTCGCTACTGCGCATCACATCTGTTCAGGGTATCCCATTTTAGTGTGGTTTATGGGATTTCTCGTTTATAAGTAGAGATACAATGACGCGATTTTCACATTATTTTGCTACTTTTTTATGAAACTAATAATGCTACACTCCTTAGTTCCTGAAATACAGGGCGAATTTGTGGTGCGCAGTAGTGAACAGATGTTGAATACAGATCTTAATTGATATCGTGAACGCAACGTCTACCGGCAGCCAGACGGGCCGCATTCTGTTCAGGAGAGCATTACATATGAAGGAACTATGGTTACGATCGTTGTATTTGACACTTTATGCCAGATTAATAATATATTTTCGTACTTTTTTGATTAGGCGTAAAAGTGCTTTACTTTTATATCTAGGCGTTAAAATGACTTTTTTATATTGTCAATCACGGCTCAAAAATTAATACTTTTGTGACGTTTGAAAAAATATATTTTTTCAAAAAAGAAGCAATAAACATCGGTTTAACTTAAAACTTAATTTTATTTGTTACATTAATAGTAAAGCCTAGTGCGAACGCCAGTTTTGTTGTAAAATGAATGGTTCCGTCAATTCTCTAGACGGTTTTCCGTCTTAATTCAGTCCAAGTAAAACGGGTCGTTCTTTCGTCTACACACCAGGTTTTGCCTCATAAATTTTGACTGAACAGGAAGACTGACAGGTAAAACGCTACGTGTAGGCGGGACTTTACTTTAGTTAACATACAAAAACACATTATTGATTATTATTGATACTTTATAAGTACAATATTATCAAAAATTACACTATTTTTACATTACATCATAGTACATTAAGATACCAAATAAGCCGAAATTATCTAAATAAGTTTATTTGATCGCGTTTGATTGATATGGAAAACTTTTTATATCCGGCGATTGGGATATAATTACATGTAACGTCGCCATGTAAGGACGATTAATGCAAACATAATAGAACAATATTACAATAAATCACAATAAAGTGTCATCGGTATACCCAACTAGCATACCGTTTAAATAATTACATGCGATAAAAAACTAGAGATTATAGTTTGATACAATCATTTTCTTTTTTTTTCGTTTGATGTATTTTATACTTGAACGTTATTCAATTGATTGAACTAATTCAACAATCAATTTAACTTACAATTTCATACATACGAGGCGTTTCGGAAAAAATAAGAAGGATAGGAAAACAATATAACATACGAACATCTTTCAAAACACAAAATACACTTCGATCCATTTTATCACATACTAAACCAATGAATACAGAACAGCAAACAAAAAATGTAATATACAAAATGCCATGTGAATGCGATAAATTTTACATTGGTGAAACATCTAGACATGTTCGAATTATAGAAAATACAAATTATTTAAGAAAGGGAGATTTTCAGAAATCTAAGATTTGTCAGCATTCATGGACACAGGGCACAGGGTACAGAATAAATTTTAATAACGCCAAAATTATAATGAAAGAAGCGATAGCCTCTAAAAGAAAAATAAAAGAGGCTTTTTTAATACAATCTAATAAAAATAAATGTATTGATTGCTCAGGCATCTGTAGATGTTAGTAATGTATGGCAATGGTTTCTTTGATTTTAAAGAACATAACATAAATAAACATAACATACGTAAAAATTAAAAATAATCATACAGAAAGTTTGGGGCTTTTTGGTTTTACCTTATTAACTAATTGTTATCAGGTAGTAATTGTTAATTTTGAAGTTTAACTTGATATAATGTCATTTAACAGAACGTCAACGGTTTTTGTAGGCGTATCTGTTTTAAAAAACTAAAGTGTTCTCGATTAGTTGAATTTAAATATTTTAAATAGTTTTTTTCTTTATTCTTTGTATTTTTTTGCTTCCGACGACGGAAAGAGATAAACTTTCCGAAACGTTAAGCATTTTTTTGTTAGTTAGGCAAATTTGTATATCTAATTATATATTATCTATATTATATATGGTAAATTTATAGAAACGAAATCCCAGAAAAAAACTTCAGTAGTAAATTCAAGCACAAAATCATTTTTTTTTAATTTTCAAAGTATAATAACTCAGCTATTTTGGACTTATTTGAAAAACGGTAAAGAGAAAATATGTTTCTTTTATCGAAATCTACCAGCCCTGAAAATATTTGCACTTATTTAAGACTCACTACTTCATAAAACATACCATCCTGGACACTTCATCTGCGTGGTCTGTATTTTAATGCATGCGACAGAGATAAATATAAATGACCGGTTGACAGACAGAGAAACAAAACAAAAAGCGGCATACAGTGGTGCCGGTTTATGTACGTGTATAGGAAAATGTGTGTAGTAAAAAATATACTATATTTTTAAAACTTTCATGTATGCTACTGAAATAAAGATAATATATCTAAGCTAAATATAATCTACTATAACTGTAGTAAAATGAGTAACTAATTGTGAAAAATAAAGCTCCAACCCTAGATGCAAGATTTTTCGTAAACGCCTACTTGTGCGGTTTGAAAATTTTAATGCAAAATCCGGCAATACCGCATAGAATAAATGTGCCATCCCGACTTTTATCTCTTTTTAGTACATTTGATTTGTCATTAAGCTGTCTACATCACTGTCTTAAGCCGCGTCCAAGCTACTCGAACAAAACGTTCGCGAACATATATAATTCACAGTATATACTCGTAGCAGCAGGTCGTAAACTACGGCACAGCCCATCGCATCGGTCTGATGCGACCGAGGACTGAGGTGCGGGGAAGAATGCGACAACCAGTTTGCTCTATAGATCTAGGATGCGTTTAAGTAGTCGCTGTTTTTTCGAGTGCCCGGATTTCGAGTGCAAGCATTTTAT